AGTTGAAAAGACTTTTCCTTTTGCATGGGAATTGAGGTCGTACAGGAGAGAATCAAAATGCCCTTGTTGGGTCGTTGGGCATCATTTTCCGTCTGTTCTAGAACAACTAGGCAACTCGATCAACAGGGGGCAAAATTTTTCCTCAATCTCCTTTCCATCTCAACATCTCATGCCGACGCCAAAGCGGTGACCTTGTTTCTATTTCCTGTTTTTACGCATAATTGGGCACCTATTGGCCATGATTAGGTGCGGCCGCCACAAACATCTATCCCCATCCCGCCGCAGTATGGTCAACAACGCGCGTCCCCCTTGTTGAATCGAGGGCATAAGCGCAAAATGAGTCAGAGAAGGCCTTGACTTGATCCCCTCAAATCTCCCTTGTTTTTTTTTTTTTTTTTTTCCTACGGGCGGCGATTTTTAAAATTTCCCTCTTGGACTTGGCCATTATTAGTCATTAAAGGCTGCCTAATATGCTGTTGAGAAAGAAAAAGCAACTATGCAAAGCACAGTCCTTACAGCCAGCCAGCAGCCAGCCAGCCAGCCAGCCACCAAACAAGAAGCTGCACGGCCGGCGTCGGCTCCGGGCCATCTCGCTATTCCCGAGGACGCCAACTAAGAAAGGGTTGGGGGGGAGGGGGGGGGGGGATTATTCGTGTAACTAAAAGACGGCACTCGGGGCGCTGTAAGCCGCCTCGGCAGAGAGAGACTCTGCCTCGCTGGACATCAAGGCTGCCTGGCTGCCCGCCTAAAAACAACTGCCCGTGGTGCTAACTATTGCGCCGAGAGCGCTCCTGCTCAAACCCCCTCCCCCAGCAGCCTTGCCGCGGAGAGAAAAGAGCCGTCTAGACTATGGTGATGCTGAGCTTTCTTGTGGTCAGTGGCGGCATGTCAGAAGTGCCGCTGGGGTGAAGTTCTCAGCGCCCTCGAGGAGGTGTGTGGCCACACATCTTCCGGTGCATATGCTCGTGGCGTGTCAAGTGAGGGCTTTTCGCAAGTTGTCGTAGCATCACCGTTGCCTGCAGGCGAGAGCTTCCACGCCGGGCCTGAGACGGAGCTCACCATGTCGGCCGCCGTACCGAACGAGCCCTGCTTCCCACCTGATATCCATCCGGCCGAGTAGCTCAAATTATACGTTATTTTCTTTTTTATATAAATCGTTGTTTAATATACCAGCATATATAAGACCGGCTCTGCCTCCTTGTAAATAGTAAGGAGCGAATGCAGTAGCCCGAGCCTGGCCGCTACTGTAGCACTCGGTCCTTTCCAGTCGAGGCCCTGATGCCAAGACTTTTTTTTCGCCCTCTGGCTTGCCTTGCCTGCAAACTCACTAGTTAACTAATAAGCTAACGTTAACGAGTTATTTGTAACTTGTTCAAAGTCCCAGGACCATGCGAAGAAAAACGTAGCATCAGCAGATGTCGCAGGCAATTTCCGATGCAGCCGTCTTTTCTCTTCCGCCTTCGGCATTGTCTTGGGTAATATATGTGTCTTGATATTGTATCATGCATGTGCTGGGGTGACGGGCAGCACAAACAAACCACAGCACCCTTGTGTCTGCAAGAATGCGAGTTGCGAAAAAGGCGTCGTCTTCACGGTATGCCCGCCTGCAAGGTCAAACGGTCGAGCCCATCTCGATGTGGAAACAGCCCATTTGCTCGTTGCAGTTGCATTTTGCGGTGCTGCTGCTCTTTGCTCTGCACCTTTATTTCACTTAAACAAGGGTTGTTACGAATACGTGTTGTACCGAGGGTGTGTTACGTGCACGTGTCGCCCGCCCATGACTCTGGTAAACGAATTGAATGCGTGGCCTCTTCGTGTCACCATAAATTTATCCCGACTGCTGTGTAACGAAAGAAACGTCTTGGCGCGATGGCCGCAAAATGTCACCGATGCGAGGTGTTTCATGGTGACAAGACAAGACACGACAAGAGATTCACAACCGCACGGACTTGGCCGGGCAGGCATGTGCTCGTGTCTTGGAGCACCTTTTTTTTTTGTCCGGCTGGCGCCCAAGGTAAGACATGGTGGTAACGTCTCGTCTGAGTATGCGAGACAGCGTGATTAGTTCCTGGCGAAGGCTGCATATTATCGACTGCCAGTAACTTGAACAGCAGGCTTGTTGGTCACAAGCCTCCAGCACCAAAAAGCGTGCCGGCCAAGGCAAACGCCACAAAGCATGAGAAGCAGCACAAGAGAGGGCTTGCGACGAACGTGGTTTGGCTTTCAGGATGGCCCAGAAAGGCAAGCCGTGCTGATCACCGTCCGTTTCTTGTCAAGTGGGCGCCGCCGGCCATTTGCTGTGAACCATGGAGAGCTGTACTCGATGCTTTTGGCGGAAACCTTAATTCGTAGCTTTCCGCAGCGAAGCTGGCCACTGCTGCGCCAAAGAAGATTAACTGAAAACTCGTCGCAAATTGATTAGTCCAGCTATAGCTATCAGAGGGGTGATTCCCGGACGGGATGGGAGGGGGCTGAATCGAGCCCAGAAAGTGAATCATGAAGCTCCTTCGTCTTAGACGTGGAGGGGCTCCGGATTGTCACCAATAGTTACAAGGCGTCCGATCGCGGTAACGATCAAGAGGATTTGACAAAAAAGTCGACATCGAGATGGGAAAGCAAAGAAAGTCAATGTTCATCACGATTCCCATTCCGTGATCAGATGTTTGGCATGATGGGCAGATGTGTATCGCGTTGCATGGCATGGGCAGGCAAGTCGCGCCACGGGTACAGGTGCCCGGAGGGCGAGACTGCGCTGGGAGAGATGGCGCATACTAGAGATCGATGGGCAGCCACAGGTCTACTGGTTAGCGGTACGGGGTTATTGGGCGCTAGGGAGACTGTTGACTGCACACGTTCCGTCTCGGCCGTGAGGAGGTTGAGTCCGGCTGTGATGAGTCGGATGTGCGAGGATCGAATGGGCGATGGCAGATGACCAAGCATGTTGTAGGTAGTGCAGGGAGCAGGCGCGGCTATAATATTTTACAGCATTTTGTTTTCTATTTTCGTGTTTGTAATGGCTTTCAATTTTTTGCCAAGGACGCAAGGTCGTATGCCATGGTTTACGAGTCGCAGGTTGTGACATGCAGTGATTGAGCCATAACGTAGGTCTACATGATGGAGTTGAATGAAGAGGCCGACCGAGACCAACAACGCAATAAAGAAAGCGCCATAAATACGAGAATAAATAAGATGAAATAAAGATGAAAAAGGAATATTAAGAAGATTCTCGAATAAATGGAAAATTAGTTAAATATGAGGTGCAGTACGAATTAGGTACCTGCACAATACTGGATAGATGCATAACAAGTGCCTGCAAATCCAGTGGGAACGGAGAGGGCGCTGCAGTAAATTCACGGTGCGCCGACGGAGACCTTGGCTCAGGCGCCTACCATTACCTGCGAGAGTCCCAGCGAACCTTGTTTGGCGCACGTCGAATGCTGGCATGATAATTAATTAGGTACCAATTGGACTCTATGCTTTTTCCTGGTGCCTATAGCCAAGACGATTAGGAAAAGTACCTGGGACACGGGCTGGCTTGGCACCCCCAAGGGCCGAACAAGCACCATCAATGCCGCGTCACAGCGGCCTGAGCCGATGGGTTGGCTCCAGGCTGTGGTGGACCGCCGGTCCTTCCATGGCATGATGGATCACGGCGACTACGAGTTGAGGAGGGGTCAGGGAAGGGGAAGAACAAGAACAAGAACAAGACTGAGAAGGAGAGTAGGAAAAAAAGATGTGATGAGACAGCTTCTTTTAGAAGAATCTGGATGTGTTGGTGCTTGCAAGCACAATTGTTGAGAAAGAGGGATACGAGAAGAAAAGGAGCTGTTTGGCTGGTAGCCACCAAGAAAGAGCTGCCAAGATTGCAGAAGTTCAGGGCATGGAACGCCTGGAGATGCCCTGTAGCAGGTGCCAGGCGATGCACCAGGCGATGGAGCCGGCGAGACTTGGTACGGGGAACGGACTTGAAAAAAAGAGAGAAAAAAAAAGAAAAGAAAGTGCGACACCCCTCCATCGCTCCATCCCCTCACACCCTCCCCAGCCAACCCCCCACTCCATCCCAAAAATCACACCCCCCTTGCAATCTTATTACCATCCTCTTCTTCATCCTCGCTCTCTTCCTCTTGCTCGCTCTCGCTCACCCTCCCTTGACCTCCCTTGATCAAAGTTACGCTCTATTTCTCCCTCATCCCTCCCACATTTTTATATCCTTGCCCACAATTTTCCTGCCAGATTCATATTATTATTATTATACCCTTGCAAAGGAAGAAAGAAAGAAAGGAAAACAAAAACACAATCCTTGCTCATCTCTTGTTCCAGCCCAAAAGTGGTTCGACTTTGCTGCCTTGTCCCCCAACTCTTTTTTTTTTTTGCAGTATATATCCCTTACACGCCCCTGGTCCCTCTTCTCCTTGCCTTTCTCCCACAGAAACGACCAGAGCCGGAAAATCCGCCCACCTCGGTTCGTCCAACGACAGACAGCCGATATTGTATAACTAGAGCAGTATCGCCAGCTGCCTCAGCCCCCCCTCTCGGCGCCAACATCTGCCCTACCAATATATCGCAGTCAACCCGACGGCGCTCGAGTCAGCTTCAAACGGCCAAATAGCTTTTTTATTGGCTGTTTCGACTTGATTTATTTTTATTTTCTCTGGCGCCGTGTCTCCTCGACGTTGCACAACCAACCCGCTGGGACGACCTCGAATCTGCGTTTGAAACCTTGGGTACTTTTTTTTTTTGGCTCCGACGCCAACACAGCCTTGGGACGACACAACAGAAAGCACCCGTGCTTCCTTGAGCCACACACAAGACAGACTCACACTCACACCCAGACATACCCAAGTCAAGGTGCCTCCAGTTTCGGCCTTGTCAGCCACCCCTCGCCAACAACAATCTCCATCGCACCTAAAGTGCCACAAAAACAGCAGCCCGACGACTACAAAATAGTCCATATGCCCGAGTTCGCCAGCCACGCCTCCCTTCCTCGCCTCTCCCTCATCATGCCCGCGGGAGACAGCTCTGCCTCGTACGGTTCAGCATCCTCGTCCTCGGCCACCTCGTCCGCCTGCGACTCCGACTCTTCCTCTGCCACATCGTCCACCACCTCGGCTGCCTTCACCATGGAATCGGCCGCACACCCTCCCGTCGCCTCGGTCCAGGTCCTGCGCTGCATGCGCTGCGCCCGCGCCGTCGAGACCACCAGCACCGACGACATTGCCACGGCCGGCATGGTCCGCATCTCCCACAACCTCTACTACTGCGAGCGCTGCGCCAAGGCGGTCGGCTACAAATAAGTGTCTCTCGTCGATCCCTTACCTGCCTGCATCGTCCCCCTTATACGAAGCACCTGGGCATTACCGTATACGACTTGATGTGAGCAAGACTCACCCGTTGCGACGCACGTCTTCCCAGCAAGCTACTACACGACAAGTTTGCTGCCCTCCAGCGCCCGTAGAGGACGACCGAACATCGCACCGACCCGTCCATGGTTAAACCAGCACATCAGTCTGCACCCTGCTGTCGCTCCATGCTACGCCTGAGCTATGCATGCAATGTCCGGCTCATCCTGCCATGTTTGGATGAATTCACCTGTCGTTGCCCTTATATCTGCAGAGGCAGTGGATCGACATGCACTGCATGCAGGCCTGCCCCTGTCTCAATCATGTCCCTCCAGGGCCCTGGTGGCCCAGTCTGACTGACGACCGAAACAAAAGGAAACTTTCATCTTAATGAAACGCTTTCCGCCTGAGACATGATTGACCACGACAATCGACGACTCTTTTTTCTTCTTCTTTGGCCTCCTGTTGCGATTTACGATGCCGACTCGACGACTGATGTCAGCATCGCCGCCCATGCATTATGACGTGGTCCATGGCGCCGCAACCCTAACTGCAGGGCAAGAGACCAATCAGATGCCACGAGCTAGCCAGCATCCCCCTGCCATGGACATGCGAAGATTCGCTCACGCATGCATACACGAGAAATGAAACGCTGATTTTTCGGCCGGTACCTGTTTTTTTCTTCACTTCTTTTTTCTTAACGCTGCGCGTTAGGAACATTTTGAGCTTGACGTGTTGGCGATTTGAACACGACTGTTGAAAGTATTCTATGTCATCTTCTCTTGTCTATTTCATTGTTTCTTCTACCCGACACATGCCCATTTTATGATTCTTCATGTTAGCTAGCGATAGACTTGAGATACCACTTGGCCCAATGCCAAAATGCCATTCGCTTTTTTTTTTTCTTCTTACACAAACAATTGGGTCACTCCTGCACAAGTGATTACGTACAAACCCAGCCAAGTCCTGCAAGTGAGCGACCACCGATACATAGCTTATCATCGACTCTTTCGTAGCCGGTTAGGCGGAGTTCTTTCCTTGGCGTTGCTGGTGCAGATGAGTTTGAAACTTCTTACACCCGGACGCGCATGCACCACTCTGCTGCCCGCGCCTCGCCCTGTGCGTACTCGTGAAAGCTCGCCAAGAGCACCACAAGTCGCAAGTTCCGTTGGTGGGAGGGCCTTCTTGCACGATCTAACCTGCTACCAAAAGAAATAGTAACATCGGATTGAGCTACCTACACATCTGTGTATATGAGAGAGGGTCTGATTCGTGCGTCCGTTGCCTGATTTCCACCACCCGGCCCAGGCTGCGATGTCATCCAGGCCTTTGCACGGCCCACCTCGTGCAGATGTCCTTTTTTTCTTCTCTTTTTACGAAAGCTTCATGGAGCAACTAACACGAGCCCGGCTATAACGGTTGTGAGACGGCTTGGCCGGCGACGGGCTGGCTAGATCCTATTCTTTCAATGCGTTCCATCGGGTCTGGAAGTTGCCGTAGATGGTGTGAAACGAAGGAAATGGAACAGATGACATGCACCGGGTGTGGAATGAGCCGTTGTTGAAACGGGTGTCGGAGAGGGAAACGCCGAGTTTGTCGGCAACTCCCAAGACAGAAGACAACGGTGGCACGACTTTAATCTAAAGTTTAAAACTCGAATCAGGTAAAGAAGTGCAGCTGTACAACGAAACGCAGGACATAGTAGAAGTGAATTGTGAAGAAAAAAAACCATCTTGTTCAGGTTGAGACAGGAGCACAATACAATAGCGCGCGTCATACTCAGCCTAGATACTGTACAACTCACACTGTAGTCGGCTGTCGAGGCGAAAGCAGGGGTCCCTATAACCAGTAGTTATGATAACAGCGCCGAATTATGAGGGGGGAGAGAAAGATTCTAGAATCTTGGGGCAGGGAGTGGTGAATTAATTCCTACAAAATAATTTTTATTTATTCCGACGCAAGACATCCATCGTTATGCGCCTATTAATCTTTGAAACCGATAACAACAAAGCAAACACCTTGACAGGTCGCTGACTCACTTCTCTCTTCATTTTTTAGGGCTGTGCTTGCTGGGGGATGGGTTGGGTGGTCCGACAACGAGGCTGTGTCGGGCCTTGGCCTTGCTTTGCCCTCTTGCCGGGATCCGTGAGACAAAACGCAACCAGCCAAAAAAGTTATGTGTGTTTCTTTTTACGCACAAACATTGCCCCCCATCAAGATCATTTGTTAGTTTTGCGCCGCCAGCGCAGATAGATTTTAGGTCGCAAAAAGAATAATGCGAGATGGGCTGATTTTGTTGCTATTTTTATCACGCTGACCACCACCATCTAGAGATTTTTGTTCGTTGCGGCCGCCCGAGCGCCGCGCAGCAGCAGCCACAGGGCGAAGCCACAAAGCGGGCGGGGAGGGGAGAAAAAAAAACGCCGAGGGGCGCGGAACAATGGAAGGTCCAGTTCCACGCTAGTCTACAAAGGGCAGTTTTCCGTTTCCCAGTTTCAACGTCTTCAACGCAAACGCCTCCTTCTTCTCTGTATTAACTAAAAAAACTACAATGCTTCTACTCAGAGTGAGCTCTTTTGTCTTCTTCACTCCGCAAAAAGGGGGCCTGCAAGGAGGAGCGAATAAAAAAAAGAACGGGTATACGAATATAACCTTGCAAGCCCCTGCTCGCGACAGTCAACCTCTCACCCACTTCACTACGTTTGCTAGGGCTGGACTAACTCCCCAGGCCGTCGTAGCCTCGCAGCAAGGCCTCTTCCTCGCACCGTCTTGCCGGAAACGGACGTAGCTTCGCAAACTTGGTTCTTCCTTCTTACTGCGTTTGATTCCCGTCGGCTTTCAGCCAAAAGCTCCGCGGAACGTGGGCAACTTGGCAGACGACAGCCCCGACGGAGCCGGGCAGGGCGGAGCGGATAAACCACACCCCCCTCCGCTCGCCCTGGAACCCAGGAAAAGGTAGAGGAGGAAGACGGGCGTTTTCTTGGCAAAGAGGATTTAGCCATGGTTTTGCGACCGGCGAGTGCGGATGACATTGCGTGGCTCTCTGATTGAATGACCACTTTTGCTCGGCCTGTTCGGGGAGCGCAGGCCAGCCCACCGCCCGACTAATCACAGCGTCTCGTTGACGACATTATCAACCCCCGTTGTGAGAGCGTTCGTTCTGCCCTGCTTCCTTCGCCAGTTCCCATGCATCAAACGAGGTACTATCGATTTGTAGAGTCCACTCGGGCGATGGCCCTCGATCGCAGAGCCGTGAGGACACAGGTTACCGATCGAAAGTCTGTGTTTCTAAGAGCAACCAAAAGCAAAAAAGAAAAGACCAATTAGAGGCCGCAGAAGGATAGTTGCGAGACCCCGTAGACTAGGCGGCGTTGGACACTGTTGCAGAATGTCAAGTTGTACAGCCCGCGGCGCCAGGTTGTAATTTAGCAGCGCAGATCACTTGCCCGGACTAGAAGCGCACATCCGGATCGCCAGCCGACGGGCCAAAATCTTCCCAAATTCGGCCAAAAATCTATGTAGGGCTATATCATGCGATACAACTTCAAAACGAGACCCCCCCGTCCGGTCTCGTCGTGTTTCAGCCCCAACCTGCACGCTACGTTGACATCGGCGTACTTTTCGTGAAGAAGAAGAAGAAGAAAGTAAAGCGGCGGAGAGTGAAAAAGAAGTGCAACGTCCGAGTCCGCCCAAACGCGCTGGGTTTCTGTTTCGTGGTGGCTGGACTCAACACGTAGTACACGATACGGGGGAAGGCCTAGAAGCTGTCAGCTTCCCCAGCTGTTTTGCATCGTTGACCCCATGCTTGGCCCATGTGTCAAAACTGTAGTCGCGTGGACGGGTGGACGGGAGCTTTTTCAGCCGGAAGTCGACAAGGAAAAGGGGAGATTGGGGGTAAAAAAAAGAGCAGATGAATACGAAGCAGGTCTTCTCCACGAGGGAGTTTGGACGCTGAGGTTGGGCTCACTATAGACACCCTGTTGGGGTTACATGAGCCCTATCAAGGAGAATGAATAGTATAGCGATTTAAAATAACTAGAAATTCAAAATTAAAAGATTTATCGCGTTTTCCTTCGAATTTTCTTCGACAATATGCACTTTGACCGTAGGCGCCCAGATGGAGATGGGGTACTAGTACGAGTTCATGAACGGACTAACAGGCAAGCCTCGCACTGCTTTCCTCAAAGAGGCGATTGGAGCCCAATAATGCTTTCCATAACAAGTCAAAAAACCCCGTCAAAGACGTAAATAGGAACCGGGCACACTGCTCCTTATTCGCCAAGCCAGGTCCGCGATGCCCTACCCGCAACCACGAGGTTGCAAAAATAGCTCGTAGACCCCCACCTGCCGGCCAAGGCAGCACCCATGCCATCGAGCTGAAGGCCTTTTTTTTTCTCGTATGCTTAAGATTGCTTTATCGCGGCCGTCTTCAGAGGCAAGGGAGTGCGCGTAGGATAGACAGCGATTTGTGGTGCAAGGACGCGGGGCAAAACATAGGGCGGCATGTCGTCACCGTGCATGTTTGCGGGCTTGGTACCCAATTGGTCTGGAAAGGTTAACATCTTCTTGCCCGCTGTCTGGTACATTTGTACCGGTAAAGATATCGTTGGCCCCTGTGAACTTTGTAAACCGGCAAGTGCAATCAACGACAGGGCCCAAAAATAGCCTACATGAAGCAATACTTTGCTTGCCTTGCAGACATTATCAGTCGTCAAAACATAAAAATAAAAAAAAAAGCCTTGGGAGCTGGTAAGCCTGACCATTCCGCTGGCGCATGGACTATTTAAGCTCCAGATTGTGGTTGGATTCAGTCTAGCAAATAGTTTCACGATCCTTCCATCACTTGGTAGTGCTCCCGGTCTATGCTATGCGGTGGGAGTCTGCGCTGTTTCTCTCAGATGAGAGTCGAATCTCTTTCTGACGACATCGAGGCACAAAATGCTCAGAGGATTAGATAGCCACATTGTTTATTAGTCGCTGATTTATGTAATCTCTTTGCCCATTTCGATGCCGAAGTCGCCGTAGTATCGAGACGCCACTGCGCGGCTACAGGCATTTCATGTATCACGAGGCGAACGCTTGTTCAGCCGGTTGCTCGCGGCGTGATGGATTTGTGAAAGTACGAAATCATTCCGTAAAGTTGCGACCTCGGCCGTGAGCAATTCTCCTTGATAAAAAGTTGTTTCATCAGGTATAAATCTGGACTAGATATTAAATCTGCTTTTCTAAGCGCCCAAATTCCACCTCTAAATAGTTCCTCAGTCTCATCTCTTCTGGTGACTGACCCTTGAACTTGTGGGACATACAAATGTGATGGAATTGCAAAGCCATATCTCCATACAATGAATGCATTTCATTTTCGCAAAAGTAAGGTGCGTTGTGTCTGACAGATCTATCAGCCTTGTTGACCAATACTGTCGCCGATTGCTACGCAGAGGGCTCCTTACACCTGCGCGCCGGGGCCACCAGCTCCGGGCTGAGCAGTAGAGCCACCAAAGAGCCTAGATGCGCCGTTTCCATTTCCAAAGGCGGGAAAGGATGGAGCTGTGGTGTTAGTTGCCTGGATCCTTGTGCCAAAAGGGCCATCAACGGTTGAACCAAAGCCGCCGAGGGGAGGAGCTTTTTGCGCAGGCATGTTGCCAAAGACAGACGATGATGACGAAGAATTGGGGCTGAATGCGGCTGGTTTAGACCCAAAGAGACCACCGGAGGATGTCTGCGGTAGGGAGCCGGAATTCAAGCCTTGGGAGTCGGGGTTGGACATGTTTCGACCGTCGTTGAATAGCGGTGTCTGGCGACCAAGGAATTTAGACTGCGCCGTGGCATTTGATTCCGTAGTAAAACGCCAGGGAGAGGTTTTCCCAACCTGGGCGGCCTGATCTGCAGGCTTCGAGCCAAAGTTCTTCGCCGCCGGTGTTGCACCGCTCGAAGGCGCGTCTGCATCCACCTCTTGCGCACGACGACTCTCATGGCCGTTCTTCTCAAGCGTATCGGCACCTATGATACTCGGAGGAGCGAAGCGCAATGTTTAGCGCCATTTCGCTTCAGTTTCGTCTGTTCTAGTTGGAAGCATGACTTACCACTGGTGTTCTTTGGCCGTGTGGGATTTACCAGTTCTGTACGCGGCCGCCATCGCCGACACTGTTCCATGCCCTTTTTGAGAGAATCAATTTCTTGCGAAAGTTGGTCTCTACGGGACTGCACATCGCCTGATTCTGAAGCTAGTTTGTGTAATTCAGACTCATCCATCGCCGCGACTTGCTTGGAAGTGAATATGCTTGGCAAGTGCTGGATCAGACAGCCTTCAACGGCCAGGTTCGTTACGTTGTCCAAGAACGTGCGACGAGAGATCTGCGCCATGTTAGCATGCAGTCGTCAGCCCTGGTATACAGACCATACGAACTTCATAGTATGCCTGCATCATGTTGACAATCCTTTCCGTGCCGAGGGATCCTCCGTCAACAATCTGGGTCAGTTCTTCCGCAGCGGAGACAAAATCGTGCCGGATTCTCCTGGGACCATCACGGGCTACGGTGTCATCTACGCTGTCCTGAAGGTTTCTCAAGCGTTTAGCAACGCGATTGACTGTCCAGCACGACACTATCTGACGAAATTCCGCGTCTGATGGTACCGCATACCCATTAGCATAAGGCGCGAGTAATTCGTCCAGCTTCGCCTCCAATATCGTTTCGTGCTTCTCGAAAAACGGGTCAACGTATTCGCTTATGATGGCATCCAGATGCTCGCCGTCTTGGCCGATGATGTGGACAAACAATCGTTCGATAAAGAATCTTGCGAAACGGATGACACATGCGACATGAAATCGCGCAATGTCCTTCCAGGGACCAGACTGCAGCTGAAACAGATGAACAGCCACTTCGCTATTGCAAGTACCGGGCAGTTCACTACCCTCACTTGCCACAACAGGCTTAACTAACAAGTCGTTGATGTCTTTGCGAGACTTTTTGGCCGGGGTTTCAAAGTCGTAGGGGTTTCTTGCAAGGAAGTCGACAAGGGCCTCCGGTACGGAATCAACTGGATTCCTCTCTTCTTCTTCTTCCTCCCCCTCGAAGGGGTCTATTTCGAACTTGTGACCTCTAGTAATCATGGTGTAATCAAAGGCCCGATGGAAACACTTCAAGTCGGCACGTAGACGGTAAAGCGGTGTGGTCAGCTGGCCGAAAAACTGATCGGCATAGTTGCCCCTCATCGCATCCCTGACAAGTCGTTGAAATTGTTCGGCAATATCAGCCAGAAACACACGCTTGTCGTCTAGTTTGGGTCTTGCTACCCCAAGCTGGGCCTTTTCCGCCTGCCGCTTGGCTAGGTTTGTCTCAATGTCTTCAATGACTTTGGGTAGGCCGCGGCGGATGTGGTTATAGAGAACCGAGCTCAACTTCCTTCGAAGACTGTGAATGCCTCGATCTTCCTCCACGATGCTGTTCCAGGGAGACGTCTTGAAAAAAGCGTCTTCAATCTGGTCTCGAATTCCCGTGCCGTCCTCGTCCTCGGCTCTGTTGCGCAGGACGTGCCAGCCAAGCTTCAAGGTATGTTTCGGTTCCCTATTCTTCGCCAGTTGGATATGCTCCTTCTGCAGGTGCTCGCCTAGCTTGAGATCCGGTTTGGTGATTATACCCATAGTTCGCTCTCGTTTGGGGTCAAAGTCTTTGACCTTTGCGAGAGCGTAGTGGTTGACAACAGCCGTTTTGGCCTCCACAACGACGAGAATAATGCTGTTCTTCTGTTCCATGTAGCTCTCCACGAGCTGGTTGACGATTTCAATTCCCTTTTCTGACTGACTTGCAATTTCATTATTGAAGATGCCAGGCAAGTCGACGAGTCTGAGAGGAATGACGTCAGGGCCCCTTATTTGCACACACAATACATGCCGCGAAAACCCGGTCATGTTTTCGGTAATTCCCATGCATTTTTTAGCTTCTTCGATAAGAGCGGGCAGATCTTTCTTTGAAAGACCTGATTCGTCAAAAGTCCTTGCCGGCTGCGGCTCGCTTTTGTGAGATCGAATGGTGACATGGACGCTTTCTTCCTGCGCTTGGCCGAGAATAATTTCTGTTGCGAATCGCGTGCAGAGCCCTGCTGAGGTCGGAAACTTGACGCTGGTGATGGCTTCAAGGACAGAGGACTTTCCTACGGCTTGTTGGCCGACAACTATCATCTGAGGTATGTCGACAATTTCGCCTACACCGCAAGAGCTCAGTCTCTCCATCAAGCTGTGAAGAGCAACCGCCTCAGGGCTGTTGAGCTCGCTCAGAGCGGTGGCGCTATACATGGCCGCCATACCTAGCGTGGGGATCTTGGCGTGGGGATCTTGGCGTGGGGAGGAGAAAGAGATACAAGTGAATTGTGCGGCGAGGCCGAGGGGCGAAGAAAGATTGGCCGCGGCAGAGTAGCCATTTTGTACTTGCTCTTGCGTCCACTGACTGCACCAAGTCTGGCCGCCACCGCGCACGCAGGGGTTATATCGGGTCGCCGGGGTCATCTGAGGGGCGGAGCTTGCTCAAACGAGATCAACAGCCTCACTGTTGAGTGGTTGGGCGTCTGCAGACAAACCCCAACTGCACTCCACCATCACCACCACCACCATCACGGCGCAGAAGGTGACATGGGTGACAAGGCTTTGAACGTGTTCTGAACCAACCGAGCTAGGCAGAATACCCCGGCCGCATGCAAGGTATACTGCAGCCGTCGGATGTCCGCTTTGAAAAGGCTCTCGCCTTTGGCCAGCTACTACTCCGGGGAAGAGGCCACGGCGGCTAACGGCTGCATGTAAGTCATTTCGTCGATGAAGTAGTGGTGGCACCACCTGCGAGTACAGGTCAGGGGACTGTTTCATCAGGTATTTATTTTAAGACGGGGCTGGCGATGAATAGCGCCACTTGGTCCGGCAAGGAGCCCTCGGTGTCATGGCGGAGGCTGTCGGAAATAATTGACAGTTTATGAAATGTGATACTCATACTGATTTCGGAATCATGCATGATTCAGTTTATACATGGAACTGAGGGTAATGTGTCTTCTGAGCAGCCCGTCAGGAGTTTGCCAGCCCAGCCTTATCCGCTTCCACAGCGATGCTCATTCTCGCTGTGACGAAACCCCGCACACCACAGTTTCTTGTCTTCGTTACCTACATCTTAGCTGTAAGCGCTGATGCTGGCGTAGCATTCACGAAACTAAGCGTCACTTTTTGTGAAAGGGCACGCCAGGAATATGCCCACGACTATGTTGGTGACTATGCGGCGTGATGAGAGGAAAAAGTCGTCCCACCACTTGGGGTGGCTCCAATGAAAGCCGGTCTACTACCGAGGAAGACGACAGCACATAATGGCAACGGCTCCATGCCTGGAGATCCAGCTTTGCAAACTCTTCAGAGTATCGATAGGAACAAGCAGGGACAGCCCAGTCTTCCTAGAAGGCTAGAATAGATGGCCACAAGACTCAAAACAGCATGATGTACTCACTAAGTTCAAAGATATCATGCTAAAACTAACAGCCAAGACCATAGATTTAGACCTTTCTGTGAGGGTTTGAACAATCTTATTACAAAGAGAAAGAATTGACGAATGAAAAGGAGAGATCCTCACGGTCTCTGTCTCTCCCCTGCGCGCACCAGCCACACCATTGGCGGGCCGGGCCGCGATCCAGCCTATCGTGGTGGCGCAACGCGGCCTTCAAGCCGGGTCTAACCCAGGACGCTGCCCATAAGGAAGGCTCCTAGCGTCATAAATACTCTTATTATATCTTTATCCTGTGTTTTTCTATCTTCCGATTCGAATTACCTTATATACCTAACCAGTATAATACTAGTGCTTAAGGCTATTGTTACGGGTTCGACGACCGTATTGATAAGCTAGTTTTAGAGCTATTGTGAGAATCCTGGAGGCAGCAATCCTAAGCGTCTCTCCTTTTTTAGTGCTGCTGTTTCCTACTGCCTAACGAACATAAGTTAATTTTACAAACGTCCTGGTACATACGACCACAGATAACAGAGAATTCGGGGTCTCGTCTGCTCCCCCATAGACAAGCTGTTAATCGGCAGATTAGTAGTTGGGTCGGTGACGACCAGCGAACACCGGCTGTTGTATGTTTTTTTTTGGGTTGTTTAAATTTTGGCCTCGTTGCTGCAATGCAATTGAATCTCTTTGTCGAACCTGACCGTGACTATCTGTGAGGAACGTTTACCGAGGTACATACAGTACCATAACAAGTATGTGGGGAGTGCTGCGTCACATCATCACGTGGGCAGCTGGGCGACCGAAACAGTAGATGGTTGGGAAGGTTTGAGCCTATTCCCCAGACAATTGAACAATTGGCAATCGGCATTATGCTATGTGCTTTGTGTCTGGCGGCGGTTAAGACTGCCGCTATCATCTATGCATTTCCAACGCGGTCTCTCCTCTAGGCAGGACCCTCCTCAGCACAAGTAGCACTATTTACACTGAAGTAAAATAAGAGGAGATTTCTAGTAACTTTAGGCTACAGTTGATAGCGTTTATGCTTACACTAGCGGAAGATGGCTGCACCAGGATAAGCTTCAGCGAAGCTCTCGTTAAATTCAGTTTAACTGCTCAGCGCTCTGTGACCAGGCTATTCGTGTATGCCCAGGGGCTACGAAGGCCGTTAGACAGGAAAAGAAAGAAGGTGGCTTTAGTAGAGTCTTTATGTTAACTATGGACAACGGGTCCTGTGTTGTCACAAGATTACCGACAAGCACTGCTAGCCCGCCAAGGTCCGCGACCAACTCAGAAGTCGCAACGATGACATATTGTAAGCCTGCTGAATAAGTCCTCATATACAAGTCCTACTGACTGACTTTTGTTCTGTTCTATATAGTACAAACGAAGGTCGAGCTTCCAATCCCGAAAATCCTGGGCTGGAATGACGATGCGTCAAATCCAGTCGGCGCAGAGTACATCATCCAAGAGCATGCATTAGGCGTCCAGCTGCAAAAGTGTGGTCCGAAACGAATCCGCACAAACACATGCTGTGCACCAAAGCGCTTTCGTTAGCAATGAAAAAGATGGCATCCCTGGACTTTCCAACGTATGGCAGTCTCTACTTTTCCGATGCGCCGATCGCGTCGAACCCGACGGTTCCCTCGAACAAGGATTCTGCATTGGACTTAACTTCAGCTCAGTCTTCTAGAACCGGAATCCAGGCGGATTGGAACTATACGGTGGGCCAAGTCCCAATTGCGGTCCCTGTGAGTCCTCGATGCTGGAGGCTCCTTTCCACAACAGTTCTAACGCAAAGTGTGAGCACCTAGGGGAGGCTTTTGAAAGTTATTGTCAAGGCTTGATAGACACCGGCTTCTCGCGTTTACCGAAAGGGCCCGTCACGCACCAACTTCGTCCTCACCAAGGGTCGGTCCAAGATCACATCCGCTTGCTGGAAATCAGTCAGGAAGTAATACGCAAGTTGGCTGACGAGGAACGCATTCAAAACGCTGCTGCTCTAATTCTGCTTCATCCTGATTTTCACACAAGAAACATCTTTGTGTCGGCTGAGTATCCGACTCTGACTACTGGCATTATCGACTGGCAATCAGCATGCATTGAGCCTGCATTCATTTACGCTAGCGAGACGCCTGATTTCGCTGCAATTCCTGAGAGTTCGGGAGAAGAAATTGCAGAGGGTGGAGACGCAGATCCAAAGCCTCCCGGGTTATCGGAACGAGAGTGGCAAAATGCATTGATCTGCCATCGGACATTCGACGTTGTCATGAAAATGCTCTTTCCCAAAACACGCCCCGCGCGACTACTTGACGAGTCCTTGTTTCGACTCTTCCGATACTGCCACACATCGTGGAGAGACAGTGCCCCGGCACTTCACAGAGAACTAATTGGGCTCTCAGCTCACTGGGGAGAACTAGGGCTACAAGGGACTTGTCCATTCTCTCCAACAGAAAAGGAGCTAGAAAGAGCACGCCCGAGACTATGAGGATTTTGACACCTTCCAAAGATTGAAATTGTGCCTCAAGCACTCCCTCAATACAAACTCTGACGGGTGGGTTCCCAATGATACGTGGGAGGCCACGGAAATTGCCCATCGCGCGGTTATAATGAATGGATTGAGACGACTAGAGAATCCGAGGCGAGTGGGGAGGATATGACGGTGGCGAAGGCGAATAAGCTGTGGCCATTTGATGCCTAGGTGATAAGCCAAAGTTGAGAAGGGGTGTCTCGAATGATGGCGCTCCCATTTCCTGAGTTCCTGGGTGTAGACTTGTTCTCATAAACAGGGCCAGTAGAGCGGGACGGGTTAGAGGTTCGACTGCCATATGCTGGATTCAGATTGCCCTCTGTAGATGTGACTGAAGCTGAGACTTGATTCGATACAAAAAGCGGACGGGCAGTAAACACAGCGACAAAGCGGTAGATGGCACGTAGGTTGCTTAATGCCGTTCATTTTTAGGCATTAGTGTTTGTCTCGAAGCGGAACCTTTATGACGCCTATTTTCTGCTGGCAGCTGCAAAGGGTTTGGGCTTACTACCCTGTATCCCGCCTCGTAGGCGATTTCGCCTGGCCAACCTCGCTTGGCACACATTGAAAGAGAGTCGATAGCCTTGCAACAGAGAAAAAGGAGCGTCAATTGATTCCATTCGGCAATAGCCGTCGGTAGCGGTTTTTACACGCACGTAGTCCGCGGATCTTGCCGCCTAGTTATTAGTTGGCGAGCACCTTGCATTGCCGATTGCCGAGCAAGTCACACTAGCCGCCCGCCAAACTGCTCAACAAACAGCACACCAAGCGGTTTGTTGGTAAGCCAGGGCAAGCCCAGCAAACGCAAAGCAGAACGAATTTCATCAACACCATAGTATGCAGGTGATTGTGCATCTCCAGCGACCGTGAATAAGCCCTTCTCCTATCCGCTATTGCGTCGTCCCCCGCTGGCGATGGGTATGAAGCTGCTGCGAAGAGCAGCCCCCACCGCTTGACATTCGGAATTGCCGCGTCTAGGCGACGAGAGTGAAGAGGACGGCAGCAGCACATGCACACACGCTCACGCCGAATAGCGACTGCTTGAAACATCTGGGACAGATATCTATCATAAGAAGGCACCGATAAGCGACGATTTTCGCCCTCGCGATGGGCAGCGCTTCGTCGCCCAAGTCAGGGCTCAAACAGGCAGCTTGTCTCGTGTGCCGCAGGGGCAAGATCAAGTGCGAGTACCTGGCCGATCAGGGCCGCTGCCGCCGCTGCCTCCAGCTCGACAGCGAATGTGTCAGGCCCGACTATCACGCCGGCCGACAGCGCGGTATTAAAAAGTCAGTCGCCAGTTTTACCCGGCCTTGTCCCCCCTCTCGCGGGCGGGGCCCATCGTGCTCCGACTCGTGCTCCGACTCATGTTCATCTGCTAACCCCCCAATCCCTGTCGCATAGTAAGAGAGTTGGTATAGACAAGGCCATCTACCAGGTACATCAGGCGGCTCGTCGCGCTGGCAAGGGCGGCAGAGGAAGCAGCAAGGCCGATGAGGCGGTCCTGGCCCGGCTGCGGGATATCCTGCACGAGGTCGACGGCGGCACTGGGATATCGCCGAGCAATGAGTCGCACCACACGGGCGGCGGCGACGAGTCCATGAGCGAAGGCGACGATGAGGATGGCGAGAACGGAGATGTACATGGCGGGGAAGATGACGATGCCATGTCTGGAACTGCCGCCGGAGCCAGCAGCGGTCACGGCGGTAGCATGAGTGCCAGTGCTAGCGCTAGAGACGCAGAGCCTGATCCGGGCTCGGGGTACCAAAGACCGCCGGGCGAGAGCCTTGCGGTCGATGATGCGGAGAATCCCTTGCAGCTGCTGGCGAGAGCGTCCTACTTTACGCCGTCGGCGGACGAGCGTGGAAAGAGAGCGCCGCAAAAGTCGAGGCAAGACGCCGCCGCCGCGAGCGATAACAGCGCATCCGAGCACGCAAAGCTCAATGACTTCTTTTCCATCACGCGTTCCGACCTAGATGTCGGCGACGACATTGACCCCATATCCCTTGGCCTCGTAGAGGAAGACGAGGCCGAGATGCTCTTCACATAGTGAGTCCCCTTGACATAGAGGCCGAATCTCCGATGCCCATGCTAACAGCCGCCGCCACAGCTTCCATGACAAGCTCGCGCACACACGCTGGGGGCTCGACCCGGACCTCTACACCGTCTCCTTCACGCGCACGCGCTCCGCCTTCCTCACCACGACGCTCATGGCCTGCGCCGCACTCTTTGTGCCGTCGGCCGGTAGCCTCTCGAAGCGGCTGTCCAACCACTCGCGGACGCTCGCGCAGCGCGTCATCACGCGCCGCCACCGCTCTGTCGAGATCGTGCTCGCCTTCGTCGTCAACATCCCCTGGATCTTCCCCGGCCAGCGCAGCACCGACGACGAGACGTGCTGGTACATCAGCATGGCTGCCACGGTCGCCATTGATCTGCTAATGCACAAGACGCTCATATCCCGTCGTGTGCTCGACTCAGGCGCGGGGCTGGCGCTCGCGCGGGGCGAGTGCCTCGACACCACCACCGCGCTTGAGATTGACGGCTACGAGGGCATCGAGCCTTGGTCGGAGCGCGGCAGGATCCTGCTGCGGTCGCGCGAGCGCTGCTGGATCTCTCTCTATGTAGTGGAACGAGGGTAAGTGTTGTTGTGAGGGCGGTGAGGGTACCGTGGCTAATACTAGTGTAGGATGGGCCTTGCGCGCGGACGTCCGTTTATGGTTCCAGTTACGAGGCTGATTAAAGACTGCGACGACTGGCACAAATCGGATATTGCCGCGTCTCAAGATGGGCACGCGGTTTCCATGGCCGTGATGCGTAGAGATTTGGTGAGTTTGCAGTTGCGGAGAACCGTCTGTTTGTTGCATGTTGACTAACTGTCTAGGATGTGCTCTTCAACAATGTCCGTTCTCTTTGTGACGGCTCACAAACTGCCAGTAGTGATGGCTCATTAATAGCACGATCGTAAGTACTGCAATAATCGGAAATATTACGAGGCGTTTGCTAATTCCTCGCAGCATTCAAGATGCCATTGAACGCTTCTTCGCGCAGTGGCATTCAAAATGGGACTTGTCCATTGGCGTTGGGCCAGGTATGCCACCGTTCACACAAAGGTCGCGGCCCCCCACGAAGTCTAACACCTTACAGATCGACGACTCCCTCCGTATGTCGAGATCCTCGTCAGCCACACGCGGCTGTCCACGTACGGCGGCGTCATCAACACCCCGACGGCGCCCATCGAGGTGCGCCGCTTCTTCCGCACGGCGGGCCTCTCGTCCGCGCTCAACGTGATGCGCGCCGCCATCCAGGGCGAGTCGCTGCTGATGTCGATGCCCAACAACACGACCATCATGATCTGCTTCGCGGCGTGCTTCGCGCTGACGCTGAGCGCCTACACGACGGACAGCTCGGCGCTGGCGCCCAGCATCCGCAAGCTCGTCGTCGAGGCCGCCGGTGTGCTGGAGCGCCTCGGCACCATCACCAAGCACCGAAACGGCCTGTCGGTCCTCTACGGCAAGTATCTGCGGCAGATCGTCCGCAAGGCCGTCAGCACGAGGAAAGCCGCCGGCGCCGAGCGGGCGGGTCAGGCTGCACTGGCGAACGGCGACGCGCCGCTGTACCCGATGAACCCGGCGACGACGACAGCGGCGGCGGCGGCGGCACCCACGCTCATGCCGCCGGTGAGCATGGCTGCGCAGCAACAACAACAGCAGCAGCCGGAGATTATGCACCCGCAGCTTCAGCATCAGCATGCGCACCCTCAGCAGGCGCCGCCGCAGATGGCGGGACAGCCGATGCTGTGGCCGGAGACGCTGCAGTTCTCGGCCATGTCGGGGGATCAAATCACGCACGTGCTGAACCAGCCCGGCAACGGGTTCGAACCGTCGTTTGGCGGGTTGTCCTGGCAGGACATGAATAATTTCGACTGGCTGCCGTTTCCGGAGTTTGGCATGTAAATGAGTACATAACATGGGTTGAAGAGACCGAGATTGTACTGTCGCTGAGCATGATAGCTGTATTTGAGGCTGGCCTGGATGTATTATACGAATGCCGCGCCGGGGCATGGAGAACGGGAGCGTCGCAGAGTGAAGGTATCCCGACGAGACAAACTAGTCGCAGCAACACCTCAACACCCAAGTCGTTTCATCATCTACGGCATTTCAAAAACGGTCATAGCGGGAATTTGCTTGCATGGCACTGAATATAAAGTTTGATTCAAGTCAAGCAAAGTTGAGCAATGAATGGCAGCACAGTTCAGCACTTTGATAACGTTGTACGATAGTAAATCTAATGATATCCAGAAAACCACTCAGTTGGCGCAGCCACAAGCAATACGAGGAGGGCAGACGCAGTCCCGGGCCTCAAGCATGGTCTATTGAAAAGGTCTTGTTAGCCGCCTCGGGTGGTCGGCGATGTAGACATCGGGGATAGTGCTTACGGTAGAGGTGTCGACGGGGGCGGCGGCGACGAGGGAGACGACGCTCAGGAGGGCAATGAGAGAAAACTTCATCGTGAATAAGTCTGCGGGAGCTGAAAGGATGGTTGGATAGAATATGGCTGGCAAGGCAGCGCGGTGCAGTATATATAGGTTGTTGGGGTCATGCAGGCTGGCAGTCCCGGGCTCTAGGAAACTCGGCGTATGCCGGATAGGGTAACGGCGATGAAGCTATTTCACTGGATTACTGATTATCGTCAAGTTTAAATGTGTAATTGGTTCATGTCTGGCGAGCGCCACCAGGAGACTAGGGCTGAGTCTGGGGATCTTGGCCAAGTTTAAACGAACGTTGGGTGGCTGCGGCGACAAGTATTGATGTCGGAAGATACATCTACAGCTTCTATATGTGAAAGTTTTTCTTTAATTATTTTTGTTCTCCCCCTTCTGTTTTCGGAAACCGCGCACATGCTCATGTGATGCAGAGGTCGCTCCCGCGGTGAAACCGGGAAGCCTGCCAGCGACGGGAAAGCAGGTGATGGACCGGACTGTTCTTCTCGCCTGCACAGCTTAAAACAAGGCTCTGTCGTCGGCGTGTATCTGGCGCGACTGCGATACCGGTCAGCAATTGGTGTAGTGGTTCCATGGCGGTAGTTGTCAGCCTCGTCGTGGAGCGGCCGGTTCAGCCTGCAGGCCCGTTTGAAGTCGACGGTTTGGAGTATTACATGGCTGGCTCATTGATGTGCTGGCGATGGTAATGGCAAAAACCATGACTGTAAGAAGCCGCTTACTTATTCCCGGCATCATCTACCCGCCCCGTGTGTTGTTCCTGGCGTTTCCGGGCTTCCGCCAGAGACAGGGTGGCATGGGGTGGTCAGCCCTATCAAATGTAGTGGAATTTTCTTGATGAACCCCTGGCTCGTCCTTGCCTATTTTGTATTCGAATCATGCATAAAATTCCCGTGTTGAACGGCTGAAACCTGCATCTGCTGGCTGGGGAGGGGTCGTGTAGGGCAAGCTGAGGTTCGGTGCGCCATCGTGCCTTATTAGGTTGCAGAGATGGTATACCTGCCACAAAAGCATCAAGGTGCAATTAGCTCTGCTGGAATAAGATCTTATGAGATAGATTAACAAGCATGCTGCGGTATAACACAGAGTTGTAGTTAGAAGCCGCGGACTTGCGCATTCGAAGGGCAGGCGATGGTTGGTTGGACAGCTGTGGCGCACCCCGTACGAGCGCTCTTCGACCATGCAGTCGCAATCTGTGGCTGAACTCATATAGATGAGACTTTGCATGTGATTGAGTGCAAGTCTTGGACCCTGTGAACGGTACGCCTTCATGACGGCCGATTCAGTGCTTGTGACACTTGAAACGAGCGCCGAGCCCTACCAAACTTGGCAAATCGCAGCCTTGCTGTCAACTTGTCCGCTAGGGACTTGGCAAAAGCATCGTCTGTAGTTGACATGTTGATGTATTTAGGATGATAACCACTACTAATGCCCAGTAACTATAGGTACAAGTTTGTGGCTAGTGATAGGCGACGGCCCGCCAGATGCGGAGACTAACTGCCGCTACAGCAGAGCAGCTCCGTCGGCCTCGGCTCAATGTCTGCACGGGCGGCTGGGTACTGCCTTGCCCTCCGCTTCTCCGCCTCCCTGCCGTTTGCCTACCCAGAGGCAAAGCAGAAAGAGCTGCACCATTCCGTCCCGTCTGTACAAAGCTCTAGCTCTCCCCGCATTGACTGACTTTGCTCTTTAACGGCGGGCATCCATCCCTCCTACCTTCATCGAAAACACCGCGCCTGCAATTTCGAAGCTTGCTTGCTTGCTTGCTTGCACAACCTCCAGACTCTCTCCTCACCAGCTTTCTCGTAACCTCATCAATCGCCATGGCTTCCACCATCCCCGCCTACCAGCCTACCGGCCTCGACGAAATCACCGCCAGCATCGACACCATCCGAAAAACGTTCCGAACCAACAAGACCAAGGATGTCGACTTTCGCATCCGCCAGATTCGCAAGCTCTACTGGGGCGTCGCCGACAATGCCGCCCTCATCGAGGAGGCCCTCATGAAGGACCTGAGCAAGTGCAAGTTCGAGGCCCAGCTCTCCGAGATTGACTGGGTCAAGAACGAGGCCGTCTACGTCGCCAACAACGTCCAGAAGTGGTCCAAGGACCGCCCTGTCGACGATGTCCCTTTCCAGTACTGGGCCCTCGGCCCCAAGATGCGCTCCGAGCCCTATGGCACCGTCCTCATCATCGGCGCCTTCAACTACCCCTTCCAGCTCAACCTCGCCCCCGTCATTGGCGCTATCGCCGCTGGCAACACCATCCTCCTCAAGCCCTCGGAGCTCTCCCCCTACTCTGCCATGGTCCTCAAGAAGATCTTCGACGAGTACCTCGACCCGGACTGCTACCTCTGCGTCAACGGCAACGTCAACGAGACCAAGCACATCATGGAGCACAAGTTTGACAAGATTGTCTTTACCGGCGGCAAGGCTGTCGGCACAATCATTGCGAAAAAAGCCGCGGAGACCCTCACACCCTACATTCTCGAGCTCGGCGGCCAGAACCCGTCCTTTGTCACCAAGAACGCCGACGTCAAGCTCGCCGCCCGCCGCCTCATGTGGCAAAAGACGTTCAACGCCGGCCAGGTCTGTCTCTCCCACAACTACGTCCTCATCGAGCGCCCCGTCCTCAACGAGTTCATCGCCGAAATCAACAAGCTCCACGCCAAGTTCATGCCCAACGGCGCCGACAAGAGCCCTGACTGGTCACGCATCGTCAACATCAACCACTTCAACCGCCTCAAGCGTATGCTCGACAACACAAACGGCAAGATTGTCATGGGCGGCAACATGTGGGAGGACAAGCTCATCATTGAGCCCACTGCTGTCCTCGTCGATAGCATTGAGGACAGCATGATGGTTGAGGAGAGCTTCGGTCCCATCTGGTCCATCCTGCCTTTTGACAACCTTGACGACGCCATTGACATTGCCAACAAGGTCGACCCCACGCCTCTCTCCCTCACCACCTTTGGCTCCGACGCCGAGAACGAGAAGGGTAAGCACCTGCTACACGAAACGTGAAACTGATCGTCGCTAACATTCTCTAGTCCTCCTCAACGTCACCTCGGGCGGCGCCACCATCAACGACGGCTTCTGGCATGCCGCGATGAACCAGACACCCATTGGCGGCGTCGGCTCCTCCGGCCAGGGCAACTACCACGGCGCCTTCTCCTTCAAGGCCTTCAGCCACGAGCGCGTCATCTGCAAGGTGCCCGCCTGGGCCGACCTGCTGCTCAAGCTGCGCTACATGCCCTACGACATGCGCGAGCTGTCCCGCACCCAGGCCCTCACCTCGCTCCGCCCCAACTTTGACCGCGACGGCAACCCCAAGCGTGGGCTCTTCTACTGGCTCGGCCTCGTCTTCACCCTCGGCGGCCGCAAGAAGAAGACCGTCATCCTAAGGTGGGCCGTCCTCATGCCCGTCGTCGCGTATTTTGCCCAGCTGAGACAGGCCAAACTCTAGGCCCGCACCCAAGGAGTAATACTCCCAAGGAGAAATGAAACGAAACAACACGGCACAGACCCATAACCTACGCCTTTCCCGCGAACAGTTGACCTTTTGATGATACCGAAGTACCAGTTAGCACACCCTATGTTGACCATGTAGTATTGTATGAATTTAGTTGCAGCTTTTTAAATGTATATCAGATGCCTTCTTAGTTAGAACGATCACCTTTAAGGCCATAAAAACACTCTCCAGAATTGTAAAAATGGAAATGGATTTGATTCTATTACTTGCATAAATCACTACCCCCGTCTCTATACACCCGCCATCACGGCCGCAAACCGCCGCCCCCTCTCGCCGCCCAGATAAAGGTCGTCGTCCGGCGTCTCGCGGCCCAGCTCGACCGCCTCGTGGTAACCCCTCGTAACCGTGTCCTCGTCGACGCGCAGGCCGGCTTCCACCAGCGCCAGCACCACGCTCCTCACCCGCGCAATCTCGCGCATCGTGGGCACGTCCACCTCGTCGTTCTGGCTCGCGTACACCCTACTGCTCACCGACTCCTCCATCCTATTGACCCCCGCCGCCTCCGCCGGCGCCTCGCTCTCCACGTGCCTGCTGATCCACACATACCCATTCACCCCCAGCAGCACGTCAATCTTGTGCGCCGCGCCCGCGCCCGCGGCCGCCTCCATGGTCCAGGCCTGGCGCTTGGCGCGGACGACGCCGGCGCCGCCGCCGACGCCGGAGACGCTGGCGAAGACGCCGTTGCGGAGCTTGCCGTACTTGAGGGAGCGGGTGTGCAGGCTGGCGGCGCCGTCGGCGTGCAGCTGCTGGACCTCGGCGACGACGAGGTCGCCCTCGGCGAAGAAGGTGCGGATCTGCAGCTCGTCGGTCTCGGTGCGCTTGCGGAGGACGCCGCCGGGGAGGTTGATGGCGGAGATTTGGAGGATGGCGAGCTGGGCGGCGGCGACGTCGACGCGCCACCGGCGGGCCTGCACCTCGACGACGCGACCGACGACGAGGTCGCCGATCTCGGGGGTGTAGCGCGCGCGCAGGGGGCGCACGGAGAGGAGCTTGTTGGTGCGGGTGAGCGTGCCGGCGAGGGAGGAGGTGATGGCCGTGGAGCCAGGGGGCACGTAGGTGCCGTGGCCGCTGTTGGTTTGGTTAGTGATTGGTGATGGGGAAAGGCGCGGGTGAAAGGGGGGCGGCGTACCGCATCCACTGAGGGTTGGAGGTGATGATGCTGCCGGGCGTGAGAATCTCATCGGCGTCGGCGGTGTTGTCGAGTATGGCGGCGGTTCGTTGGCGCTTGGCGGCGCGCATGGGCACGTCGCCGTGCACGTCGACGCCGCCGTCCGAGTCGGACGAGTCTGAATCTGAGTCGGCGGCGGCCGAGGGCCGTGGTTGCGCCGCGGGCTGCGGACGCAAGATTGTGATGGGCATTTTTCTAGGTATGGCGTTCGCTCTGAATGAGCACTGAGCGGCGTTGATCGAGTGCCGTAGCGGCTATGCGCGGGGCCGTTTTAGTTCGCAGCTGGTCAATTGTGTTGTATATGCTGTAGAACCCAGTCTCAGGGATTGTGCTTGAAATAGAGTGTATATGAGTGAGTTCAATGCTGAGATGAGGTTGATGAGAGATGTTGGTGTGGGGCAGAGATTTTTGCGACTGTCGAGAGTTGCCAGTGACAGCTCCACCAAAGCAGCCGAAAGCTCAGATGGATTTGGTCAACATTAAGAGATAAAACAGACGTTCCATGTTGACTATGTGAGATATCCAGACTAAGGCATCTCAAATGCTGACTGTTAACTTCACCTTTTCAATGCAAGTTTTGAATAGCAGCAACAACGCAATCTACCATCGCCAGATATTGTTCCACAACTGCACCATCGGCGCTGTTGAACCAGTTCAACAATTGGGTATCATGATTAAGTGGTATGCGTAGGATCGACATAAAATACAGTACAAATACATCAGTTTCACAGCGTGTGACAGTCTTGGTTGGCATCTCGCCCTGCCTGCCCCCAGCGGCTGGCCAAGCACCAGGTCGGTCGGAGGCTTCGTATTCGTCGCTTCGCTTAGTAAAAGGCTCGCCAGAATCCCATGTACGCCAGCCCAAGTGAAATGCCAAGGATACCAGCCTTGCGGCTGCGCATCCCAAACATGGACTTGCTCTGGAGGATGGCCTTGCGCTGCCGTTCGAGCTGCGACATGCCGGAAAAGTAGCTGTAGCCGGCAAGACCGAGGAATGCGCCGCTTCCTACCCAATTGTTACCCGTTAGTCTTGTTTGAGCGCAGCTTTGTATTCAAATCGAGGAGCTCCATACCAACAACTTTGCAGGATAAGCAGTCTTCTTGTCGGTCTTTGCGGAGCATCTCGTGGACGTTTTCCGGCTTCTCCAGCTGGTGGATCGAGGGGACTTTGTCGCCGGCCATTTCGGAAATTCGAGGAGAATCTTTGTGCCAAATAAATGGTAAATCGTCTCTCGCTATGTCGCTCGTAGCATTTGGGTGGAAGTAAAAAGGTTCTTGAGCTTCTGTCGCAGGTGTTGCCAGTTGCTGAAAACGTTAGTCAGCAGCAAGCTTCCCAGAGCTTCCGTCATTTCAGTGTTGCGTGTGGGGCAGAGAGCCTTATTATTTATGTCGGCTTCAACCAACTTGCACAGTACTTGCCCAGGGAGGCGCAGAGAGGATCGTCACGATGGGCGGCGTCATTGAAGCCGTACACATATTCGATGACAATAGGTATGTCCACCTCCGTCCCGACGACAAACCGCGCCACCTCTTAACAAGCACCCCTCCCCCAGGACCCCGATCCTGTTCCACGCCTACGCCGGGAGGCCGCTGTCCGCGGCGCACCTCCTGCCCCTCTACCTCGAGCACCCCGCGCCGCGGCCGAACCTGCTGTACCTCGCCAACACGAACCCGCCAACGCTCGTCTTCAGCCTGGTGCACGGCAACCTGCTCCTGCTAGCGACATCGTCGGGCGAGATCGAGCCGCTGCTGGTGCTCGAGTTCCTACACCGAGTCGTCGACGCCCTCGAGGACTTTGTCGGCGCGCCGCTTCTGGCGATCAAGATTGAGAACAACTACGATGTCGTCGCGCAGCTGCTGACGGAGATGTGCGACGCCGGCAACGTCAGCACGACGGAGCCCAACGCGCTGCGGGAGGTGGTTGAGGTGGAAGGATGGGTGGACAAGCTTTTGGGGAGCATCAACCTACCAGGGTATGCTGCTCGCGCTCGCGAAGGAATTCGTTCAGGAAGAATTTGGCTAACATGAAGCAGAAAACTACAGTCTAATTCTTCTTCGATCACACCTTCGATATTACCGACGACAGGAACGTCGCTACCGTGGCGGCGAGCAAACGTACGGCACACCTCCAACGAAATGTACGCCGATGTCGTGGAAACACTATCAGTTACCCTGGCGCCGTCTGGGAGACCATTGGCCGCATTCGCAAACGGAACGATTGCCTTCACAGCAAAGGTGTCTGGGGTGCCGGATATCACGGTCAACCTCACCAGCCCTTCTGGCAAGCACAACTTGGGGAGCTTCCTGGAGCTACCTGTCTTTCATCCCTGCGTCAGGTTAAATAGGTGGCATGAACGGCCAGGCGAGCTGAGTTTCATCCCGCCAGATGGCCGTTTCATTCTCGCGGGCTACGAAGTCGACCTGCTACCTTTTACAAGTGGCAAGTCGGGCAACCTCAGCAGCAGCTCCCTCAAGTTGCCGGTAAACTTGGAGATGAAGACCGGCCTAGGGCCGAGCGGTTCAGAGTTTGAGGTACGATTACAAGTAAACAAAATTTTCGGCACTCCCGGGTCTTCATCATCCAGCCAGCTGGGACGAGGTGGCGGCCCAGGTCGCCTAGGATCCCCGCACCCAGGCACGCCAGCCTCACCGTTGCTCGACGACTTGATGGTCACAATACCGCTCCCCCTTGATGTCAGAAACCTTTCCGATATACGCCCAAGCCGGGGCGACGCCAGCTTCAACCCCGGGCAAAGAGTTCTGGAGTGGCACATCCCCGCCAAAGAGCTGAGCGGACCGACGTCGCACTTCGGGCTACGCAGCACCGTCGTCGGGGCTCTGAGCAACGAGCAGCAGGAGGACGCGTTCGACCCGAGCGGATTCGGGTTCGGGCAGCAAGACTACTCGTACAACGAGCCGTACCAGAGCGTGCCGGTGGCCAAGAATGCGCAAAGGGGCGGCAAGACGCGCGAGGGCGGCGGCAGCGACGAGCAGGACGCGCAAAAAGTGGCTCAGAACAAGATTCTGATGCCGAGCTCGGCGTCGGTCAACTTCTCCGTCAAGGGCTGGCTGGCGAGTGGGCTCAAGGTGGACAGCATCGTGCTGGACACGCGCAAGAGCCGGGGCCTTGGGGAGGGGGTCAAGCCGTACAAGGGGGTCAAATACCTGACGGTGAGCAAAGGCGGCGTAGAGCTGCGCTGTTAGGGGGCGATGGTGCATGATTGTGGCCACCTACATATGTACATGCAGGATGAATTTGGAGACGCTGTTGAGGGAAAGACGTCACGCGCACATATGAAGATATGAGACATGAATGAAGCCTAGAGGGGATGTCTGGCACAAGACAGGAAAAAGAAGTCAAGAAGTAAAGAAGAAATCAGATTAAAGATCGAGGCTAGTGTGTAAGCCTGCTTGCTTGGCATCTCACTTATTAGTAGTACGCTTATGATGGGAGAATAAGAATGTTGCAGCGGACCCAGTGGTGAACGTGTCAGGGTGCGACGATTGGCTGGGAGGTAGGAGTGATGGCGATGGTGAGGACGCTAGGGGAGGGGAACGTGGTTATAGGGGCTGCCTAGGAAGGTGTTGGAGTTACATAGGTAGTTAGCCATTCAAGGCTGTCTTTGGACTTGGCTGTGTGTAGCTACAGATTTCTCGGGTCGCTTGTACTGTTACTGTAAAAGTAAAAATTCGAGGTCTTGAACAAATCAATTCTATACCTATTCTTTATTATTCTATTATTCTTTTCTATTTCCACAGCCCCCGCGACCCCCGCCTGTGGAGTCTCCAATCCCCAGCAAACAGTGGCCTACCTTATGCAATCGATTGTCATTTCAGTGACTTCACCCACACTCTTCTCTGCCCTCCCAGCCGGTCCCCGCTGTTTTTTTGGGGCCAAGAGCCGACGACACGGGAACCGAAGCTGCCAAACGTAGCGCAAATCAAACCCTCGCTCGCCCTTTGTTCTCGGAGCCCATCTCTATTTTCTCTCACCGGAATCACTCCTCATCTCACATGCTCGCGAAGCACCCTGCTCGGTCAGACGTGGAAATGAGAGCGTCATCCTCATAAGAAGCCAACCCACCCAGCCCACAAGCTCTCGCTTTTCTCCCCTTCCCTTTGCTCCTGATGCACCACCACCGGCTCGCTGCCTCGGCGCTCCGTCGGGAGCTGTCGCGGGCGTCGCCGGCCAGAGCCCCGCGACGGCAATGGAGCTCCGGGCCAATGTCCCGGGCGAGGACGGCCATTTTCTTTCCAGGTACGCAGCCCTCTGTCTGTCTCCTCCGCGCTGTTTGCCGGCGGGTGCGGCCCGAAACATTGGAGATTGAGTCACCCCACGACCGCGACCACGACCACATCCCCATAGCTAACACACGCACTCTCAACAGGCCAAGGCGTCCAAAAAGTCGGCATGCTCACCCCCTGGATCGAGGCCTTCCCAGCCACCACCACCCAGCTCATGCAGGAGATGGACCACTACGCCGGCTACAAGCTCTCCGACATTATACAGAACGGGCCCTCCAAGGTGCTGACCCAGACGACCAACGCGCAGCCCGCCATCATGGCCACGTCCATCATCATCCTGCGCATCCTCGAGTCCGAGTTTGACTTTCGTGTTGCCGACCACTTCGACGTCGCTCTCGGCCACTCGCTCGGCGAGTTCGCCGCGCTCGTCGCCGGCGGCTACCTCAGCTTCCCCGACAGCCTGTACCTGGTGCGCGAGCGCGCGGCCGCCATGTCGCGCGCCACGCAGCAGGCCGTCGCCGAGTACGGCGGCGAGTACGGCATGGTGGCCATGATCACGGAGCCCGGCCGGCTGCCGGGGCTCATCGACGCCGTGCACGAGTTCGTCGGGCACTCGAGCGCGTACGGCGGGACCAACGGCGGCGGCGCCGTGGAGGCGCCGGAGGACGTGCCGCCGATCGAGCAGGTGCTCATCGCCAACATCAACAGCAAGAACCAGATCGTGCTCAGCGGCAGCATCGAGCGCATCCGCACGCTCATCGCGCACCTGCGGCAGTTCCACGGGCACGACCCGCGTGCGGTGCGGCTCGCCAGCGACAGCCCCTTCCACAGCCCCATCATGCAGCCCGCGGTGCGCGTCATGCGCCGGCTGCTGGCCGGCCGCAGCCGCGCGCCGGGTCGCGAGCGCGACGACATCGTCACCTGGCCCGGCGCCGTCGAGTCGGTCAGCAACGTCACCGCGCGGCCGTTCCGCAGCAAGGCGGAGCTCAAGGAGCTGCTCGCCCGCGGCTGCCTCGAGACGGTGCGCTGGTGGGACAGCATCCGCTACCTGGACCGCGAGGAGAAGATCCGCCGCTGGGTCGGCATCGGGCCGGGAAAGGTCGGGCGGAACCTGGTGGGCAAGGAGGTCGGCATGCGCGGCAAGGACCTGGTCAAGGGCGGTGGCGTGTGGGCGATCACGGACCCGATGGAGGTCGAAGAGGTGATTCGCGGGCTGGAGGAGACGGCGTACATCATTGATGATGAGGAGTGGGAAGACGATGGTTAGGGGATCAACGCGGTGGTGATTAATCTGTATTTAGCGGGCATTATTTTTTATTTCTACTTTCTGGCGACATTGGGATTTATTAGCACATGGTATGGAGTCGCAGGGGCTCTCTGGGAGGCATCATTATTCACGCGACTGCGCAGCATGCAGACCGATTCGGTATTAACAATTACGTATATAATACATCTATCAATCCGATTTGGACCTGAATTAGTGACATTTCTTTGACAATCGTAGCAGCCGTGGTGAAAGAATGTGCCGCAACTACGTGCCATGTACCTGTAGTGTCCCACCTCAGCTCTCAAGCTTATCCCCACGTCCTCCACGGGCCACCATGAACTTCGACCTCCAACAACCTCCCACCCCGACTCCAACGACCACCCAGCCATGACGACGGCGATCCCCTCCATCGCCTGCCTCGGCGTAATAGGCCGCAACGTACATCCCCAGCTACCCAATCTCCCCATCCCCCCCTCCCCTCTTGCTCACACGATGAAGCGCTAACGCACCTCCCTCCCTCCCCAGAACAACCCGCTGCACATGTCCACGTTCCCCTCCCACGACACCGCCACCAACACCCTCGCCCCCGTCCGCACGCCCCTCGAGTTCTCCCTCCTCCTCTCCTCCACCGTCGACGTCTTCGACCTGCGCGCCAAGCACCGCTCCGCCTCCGCCGGCGTCCTGCCCGCCGACCAGCACAACTCCAGCCTCCTCCACGCCGTCGACGACCGGCTCGCCGCCTACGGCGTCGAGACCAACACGGGCGTGCGGCTCGTCTGCGTGGTGGACATGCGCGGGCGGCGCGTCGACGGCACGGTGCTGCGCGCGGGCGGCGGGGGGTTGCGGGAGGCGGAGCTGCGGCCGGTGTTCAGGGCGATGCAGGGCGCGTACGTGGGCTTGTTGCAGAACCCGTTTTACGAGCCGGACGCGCACGCGCCGCCGGGAGGGGGAGGGGCGGGCGAGAGGATCAAGAGTAAGAGGTTCGCGCAGGCGATGAGGCGTATCGGCGAGTCGTGGACGCCGGGCGTGACCAACTTGTGAGGGGGGGCGGATGGGTTCAAGACGATGGGATGATGATGATGATTTTCTTTTCTTTTTCCTGTACCGTTGCTCCCGTTTCATGTATCATGGCTTTGGCGTTTGAAGAAATTCCAAGAGGCGTCTTCTTTTCTGTAATTTGTGCTGGGCAAGGCCACGGCCTTGCAACGTCTATGCTAAAACATACGCACCCGTTTTATGCACCTCCCAGGTCTACTTATTTCTCCAACAAGGAATGTATCGTCTATTTATGCTTTCACGCTCACCCGCCCTGCTTTATATGCTCGATGCGGTACCGCGCCAGCCCCGCCACCTCGTCCACGTCCACGCTCTCGCCCACACCCTCCCCGGTCGACCCTTTCTCAAGGGGCGCCCTGCTGCTCAGCGGCGTCGAAGCCGCGCCGCCCTCCCAGTGCCGCACCTCCCGCGGCAGCGGCCGCCACCACGCACCCGTGCGAGCGTGCCACCTTCCGCCGCACAGCTCCCACAGGCGCGACGCCGCCCTCCGGTATGCGAAGCGCTCGTCCTCGCCCGTGAACGCGCCCGCGTCCGCAAAGTCGACCGCTTTTGGCCGCCTCGTCTCGAGCACAAAGTCCGAGTCCTGGTCGGGGTCGTAGCGTGCCGTGGCGGCCTTGGTGTCGTAAAAGGACACGTTGGGCCGGAACGGCGACACCTGGTCCTGGTACACCTCGGCGATGGTCTCCGAGTAGGTGGCGTCGCCGCCGTCGTCGTCCTCGTCCGTGGCGGGTCGCCGAGGAAGCTTCGTCTCAGGGAAGAAGAGGTGGTCGGGGGCGCGCTCGGCGCGGACGACGAGCTTGCACCGGGCCTCGTAGAGAGCGTCGAGGAAAGTGATGAAGCGCCGCGCCTCATTCTTCTGCAGCACAGACAGGGCGGGGACGTTGTCGATGATGAAGGTGTGGAACGAGGACGCCATGGTGATGTAGTCGGCGGGTCCGAATGTGCCGACCAGCTGCTCAAAGTCCCAGAACACAGTGCCATCGTGGTGCTGCGGGATGACTACCTTGCGTCCGTAGACAACAATGGTTTCTGATGTCCAATTTTCGCCTGGACTATTACCAAATGCCTTTCCTTTAACATACTCTAACCACCCTTCATCTCCTTGGCCAGTGATGAAGTAGTTTACCGGTGTATCGCTAGACTTTGGCGCGTCTTCGTCCTTTGCCAGGGCCAGCCTAACTGCCTCTCCCTCGCTCGGCGCATCCTCGTCGAGCTGCGCGCCGGTGTCCTCGCGGCGCCGCCAGTCCCGGACGCCTTCCATCTGCCAAAAGTCGCAGCGCGCCTTGAGCACCTGCAGCAGCTTCGCAAAGTCGCTGCCCTGGCCGTGCAGCTCGCCGCCCGCGCCGCCAAAGATCTTGCGCATGAGCCCCAGGCGCGGCGCGTTGGCGTAGTCGACGCCCGTGGCCTTTTCCAGGTCCTCCGGCACCCGGTTGGACGAGGCTATCAGAACGCCGCCGAGCTGGAAGAAGGCGATGAACAGGTGGCTGAGGATCTTGCTGGCCGCGCGGTCGGGCAGCTGAAACTCGTCGAGGAAGAGGATCGGCGACTCGTCGACCAGCTTCTTGGCCATCCACAGCAGCGAGTGCTCCTCGTCGCTGCGGCGCAACGACGCGCGGTGGTCCTCGAGCTGCGCAAACGTGTACAGCATAAAGGTATTGAAGTGCCAGCGCCGCTTGCGGCCGTGGGGCAGCCCGTCAGCGAGCAGGTCCAGCAGCATAGACTTGCCCGTGCCGACCTCGCCGGAGAGGAAGAGGCCCCGCGGGGAGTCGATTTCGACGGCGAGCTCGTGGTCCTGCAGCACGCGCGTGAGCGCCACGCTGTCACGCGTCTCGCCGCCGCCGCTGGGTAGGAGGTGCCTGAAGAGCGGGTTGCGCCAGATGGCGTGGCTCGGCACCGCGAGGACGTCGTCGCCGTCGGTGGAGGATTTTTCTGCCGGCGAGGAGGTGAGGCGCGCGACGTGCGACAGCCGCTGCGGGTAGGCGAGCTGCGGCGAGTAGTCCTTGACGCGGAGGTAGACCTCGCGCAGGTGCCGCGCCAGGCGGTGCTGGGCCGGGTCCGGGCAGCAGACCCCGGTGGACACTAGGCTCCGGTACTTGACCAGCGGGTCGGTGATGGTGACGGCCGTGGAGAGGCGCCTCATGGTGGCGGAGGAGCGAAACGGGACACTCCCATACCTCATAGGGGGAAAGGGCTAAGATTTAGTTGAGAAGCCCGTGAGTGAGGTGTTGGAGGTGAACGAGGTTGTTTCCGGTAATAACCCGGCTCAAGCCGACCTCTGTTCTATCGTACTTGACGTAAGAAAATACCCAAAAAAAAGTGTAGGTTATAAAACACTCACGCTAGGACAGGGCAACAATTTATAAAGACTAATCCTAACTAATATTTCTTAATTCTATTCCCCTTATGATTAAGGGTACTCCGTAGAGATACTAGTTGGTAAAGTGGCCGATTTATCTTCTCATGTCCATGCGCTCCCCAGTTAACTAGTGGAGAGTAGCGACAGGCGAGGTCCTTAGTCATTTATTTTTGTTTACACTTTCATGGATTTAGTATTTCTTTATTATTGGACTCAAAGGTTTGACAAATGGATCAATTTGATAAGTTGACTTTTTTTAAATAAGAAAATCCGCCCAATGGCCCGAAGGTATCTTGCAATGTCAGTCTATCGGATTTGGTGTTATCAATCTTCGATAATACCACGTGACCTTACACGTGATCGTCGGGCCATGACATTGCTGAAGTCAAGGCAGGTTCAGGCAGGCCCTTGGCGTCGGGTAGTGAGTGCTATCAAGTGTCTAATAATTATAAGACGCACTTACATCCCTCTTAACGACCTGACCGTTTTCTTCGAAACGCAATCCTGGACTCTCCTCTGGACACTGGAAAATCATCGACGGACATTTACCTGGATCAACGACGTACATTTCTTCCGGACCGGGATATTGGAGGGATCTGCTGTTCTATTCGCCACTCGCGTTGAAACATGGCAAGCGAGGTAAGCTGCCCTTGTCTCTTTGCACTTGATCTGCCTTTCTACCTGCCCTTTTACGCTCCCTACGCCCTCTCTTCGGATCATCATTTAGGCGGCCTACTGGGCAGTTGAAAATCATTTACAGCGCGCTGCGTGGCTTGCCCACGGCTCGCTCACTTGCTTTGTCTGCCTGGGGGCCAAGCTGCCCCTCTACCAAACAATTGCTACCCCACCACTGCGAGCCGCTGCAGCCACAGCACTAGCCACAACACCTGCCACACCACACCGCACACCAAACCATCCTCTGCTGCTCGAGACAATGGCTTTCTGAGTCACCAAAAAACCCACCACATTTTCTCTCTTCCCTTCCCCCCACGCGCTATCATCATCGATCCACGAACGAACGCGAAATCGACCTCTTTTTCCCCTCTCCGATTCTCGCATTTAACCTTTGTTCCTATCAATTCTCGATTCTCGCTCCTCCGCTCACACGACCCTCTAACCCTTCTAGGATCACCCCCCCTCCCCCGCCGAGCGCAAACCTCGCAAGTCAGTCGCCTTCACCGACGAGCAGCTAATCGTCGACGCCGACGGATCCGTCAAGATGGTAACCGCCGCCGAAGAGGCCCCCAAGGACTCGGCTCAGTCCCACGCCGCCCGTACGCCGCCTCTCTCTGCCGCCCTTGGAGCCTTTCGTACTGATCCTGCCGATGAAGCTGCCACCACCGACCCCGCCGCCGCCGACGACACTGGTCTCGACCTCTCCCTTCTCAAGAAAAAGAAGAAGAAGTCGTCCAAGCCCAAGGACGAAGACGGTGCCGATGAAGCCGCCGGCGACGACGGCGGCCTGGACCTCTCCATGAAGAAGAAGAAGAAGAAGAAGGCCAAGGACGCCGCCGAGGACGACGACTTCGCCGCCAAGCTCAAGGAGCTCGAGGTCAAGGAGGAGGAAGAGGGCACCGCTGGCGACGCCGCTGACGGCGACGCGGCCACCGCCGGCGACATGGAGGCCGGCACCGGCATCTGGGCGCACGACGAGACCCGCAGCATCAACTACCCTATGCTGCTCAGCCGCTTCTTCACCCTGCTGCAGCAGAAGAACCCGGACCACGCGCTCAGCGGCACCAAGACTTACAAGATCCCCCCTCCCCAGTGCATGCGCGAAGGCAACCGTAAAACCGTCTTCGCCAACATTGCCGAGATTTGCCGCCGCATGAAGCGTTCCGAGGAGCACCTGACGTCGTACCTGTTCGCTGAACTGGGTACGATTGGTTCCGTCGACGGCAGCCGCCGCCTCGTCATCAAGGGTCGCTGGACCCCGGCCCAGCTCGAGACTGTCCTGCGAAAATACATCAGTTCGTTGCCCCCAAAACTATCTCCCTTGGTCCTCCGACCACGATTTGCATGCATGTCGCAATCTTGACTAACATTTTGTACAGTCGAATACGTAACCTGCAAGACCTGCAAGTCCCCCGACACGGAGCTCAACAAGGGTGAGAACCGCTTGTACTTTGTCACCTGCAACAACTGCGGCTCCCGCCGCTCCGTCACCGCCATCAAGACTGGTTTCTCCGCCCAGGTCGGCAAGAGAAAGAAGATGCAGGGTTAAGCGTGTGTTGCTGGAAATTACCCCGCCAGCATGCTGCCCTTTGTCATTTCCCGTCTGCTGTGCGTCGCTCAGCAGCGAGTTGTTGCTGTTTTACAGAACAGAAACGCATGGAGCCGAGGATAGCCCACTTCCTGTCGAGTGTAGCATGGCCTGATTCAGCACACACTACAGGGCCTTTGAGGGCTAGGAATGACAGAAAAGTGAACGTTTTTGGCGGTTATGGGAGTGGAGTTTGCACTCATGGGGAAAGAAGCGTGTTACGAAGCGTGTTACCAGTTGGGGATCATCGGGCGAAGCATGGAGATCGGGGAAACTGGGAGGCGGAAGCAACGAGGAGGAAAAAGTACGTGGTTGGGAATTTGTGCGAGGAGAATAGTCCACCTCGCAGCCATGTATATAACGCTGCAACGAGAACACCCCCCCAAAAATTCACAAGTTAAAAAGACATCTACCGTTCCACCGCGCTTTGTGAAATTCGTGCGGTCCGAGGTCGTTCAGAAACAGACAGTAATTTCTCAACCAACAGTCACATTGCAGACGAGCCCAATGATGTAGCTAGAGGGAAAATAAAGACTGGCAAGAGTCTACCAGTGTAGAAATGTATATCGCTAGTTAATGTCTCTTTTCCCATCTCCTCGTGTATGCTATATTCTCATCTTGAGATTCACGCGGAAGAGAGTCTTTTTGAACAAAAGCAAGAACAAAAAAAAAGTCACAAGCCGCCCCTTATAAACAAACCCCTCCCATTTGTTGTTGCATCCCAGGTATCCAGAACCTTTCATCTTTTCCTAGTCTCCCAGCGCGTGACCGCGACGAGAGAAGAATGAATCCAACTAAAAACAAAAAAACCAGATGAACAAAAACGGTTTCTGACCATTTATCCGCTGTGGTGTGGTCCATCATTCCTCCTTCGTTGTCTTGGTCGATAACAGACAACGAAAAAAAGCAAAAAGAAAACTATGTATACATTCATCATTCTCAGTTTATAAACTGTCCCGGGACATGACCGTTCGTGACTTCGTCCATCATGGCGTCCTCAACCACAATAGGGTCCTCCCGCGCGGCCATGCTCGCCTCCTCCGCCTGCCGCTGCACCTCGGCCTGGGCTTGCCCTAGACATGTGCGCAGCCAGTCGGCTAGACGGTGCTTGTCGATGTTTTGCTTGAGAGCCTTGTCCTCCCACCGCATAGCCTCGATCTGCTTGGTGTGGATCTCGGCGCCGAGGTCTCGGAAGCGACGGTCTAGGTCCTCAGTGAATGCGCCGAGCGCCTCCTGCGGGCTCATGGGACGGAAGGGCTCGCGCTCGTCTTGGTAGCGCACGCAGTCAGCCAGGACGGCATACAGCTCCGTGTCAGCAAGCTCAGCAACCACTTCGCGATCGTGCTTGAGCTGCGTATCGTTTATGCGAGCCCAGTCGTCACGAATAAACAGACGTCGCCAAATGAGCCTCTTGGCCTCCTTGAGCTCTTCAGCGTGGCAGCTGCTCTCGGCTACCTTGAGGGCCATCCAGAAGGGATGCGCAAGGTGCTCTTGTTGTTCGGGCTTGAAATACACGAGGGTGAGAAGGTCGATGAGTGTCATAGCGTCGAGGGCTTCGTGCTTGAGCAGTCGCTCCATGCCGTCCTCAAAAAGCTGAAGCAACACTTTTTGCCGACGCGGAATGTTTGCACTATGAGCTTCCATGGCAAAGTTGAGAGCCGCAGCTTCATCAACGGCGTCATAGGTGCTCGTGAGGATTAGTTTGTAGAGCTCATCCTGAACCTTAAGCGTGATGAGCTCATTCTCCACCGTGGCGAGCTGACTTTCATGGCGCGCTTCGTTAACGGCAACCTTTAGACCATTGGGCTGCTCCTGCTTCTCTTCAGCCTCGGCTAGCAAGGCAAGCTTGCCCAGGCTAAGCTCAACCCTCTTGTTCCAGGCCTGCTGTTCCTTGTTAAGGGCCAAGCTGACAAGCGTGTCGGCAGCATGGTCAACATCCTTCTCTTGCTCAATATCGTTGATCCAGGAAATACGGGCCAGCTCTGGCTTGCTGCGCAAGAACAGAGTCTTGAACCCGAGAGTCTCCAGGTCAAATTCGAGAACCGCCTCGACACCATGCTTCTCAAGCAGAAATTCGTAAACGGGGAAAGCAAAGTCCTTTCCATAGCGGCTGAATCGATCTTCCAGCTGCGACTTCTTAGCTTCGCGGAGTGCCTTCAAAACCTTAGCTTCGCTGGCTGGCAGCCCGGGCTGTGCCAGTTGCTGTTCGAGTGCCTCGACGTGGTCTAGCAGAACTACCGCTAGGCCATGCAAAGATTGATGCTTCTCAGCAAGAAGAGCACCTTCTTCCCATTTTCCGGCTCTTGCGAGGAAAACAGGCTTCTCGAACCTGTCAGCAGCGTAAACCTTGGCAAAGCTCTGAGCAAATGTGTTGTGGTCCGGAGATGTGGCCCCCCAACGCGCATACTCGAGTACTGCGGTCAGAGCTGCGTCAGTCAGGGAAGGGAGCTCATCAAAGATTTTTGCCAGGATTGCCGCGTTGGGCTTGTCGGTCCCTTGCATCTTTTCTGCGGCGAGCGACTGGTGTTTCTTGTACCATTGGTCGGACAGGTCGAGAAGACGCTTCACATTGTTCGCAAGATAATGGCAGCCTGTCCACGGCTCCGGCATGCCTTCAATGTTATCCCGGAGGATGCCAAGGCTCATCCGTTCCTCGCCAAGGCCATATAGATCCAAATTTTCCTTTCTGAATTCCAAGGCACCAAAGTGTGTGGTGACATTTAACTGGATTGCTTCGTTCATCATGACGGTAATTTTAGTATCATCAAGCAGACGGTCCTTGTATAGCGTCTTGATGACTTCGTAGCCCCAAGCTACAAAAAGCTCTAACCGAAACACGTCATTGATGAACCAATGGCGGATTGCATCGACTTCGCCTGCGGCAGCCACTGGGTTCGATTTTTGATCCTCGTGAATGAACTCTACAATGGATCCGATGAGGCTCTTTTTGTCATCCGCTGGCCGTGCAGCCGTGAATGCTTCGTGGAGCTTCCATATCAACGTGGCAACATGCATCTTCTCAGCGTTGTAGAGCAGATTCCACCGCGTACTTCTGTCCATGTCGGCTCCAATGGACTGAAGATGTCTTACTAAGCGCTCCAGGGCCCGTGAACGCTCCCGCAGGTTGTCCTCCAGTGAAGCAGGTAATGTCGGCATATGTGTTGTTGTGGAGCCAAGAATCTCTTGGCTGACCTCGAGTGCAGCAGTGGAGAGCTCTTTGCCCGTGAAGGAAGTCTCGCGTCGCCCATCAAAGATGAGCGGGCTTCCTTTTCTGGAACCCGAAAATACCGTCTGCTCGAGCTTGCTCTTGGCCGACACTTGTGGGGCTTGCTCGCTGGCAAACTTGTCAATGTCGGTGGTGATAAAACGAATGACACCTGCGCCGCGAACCATTAGGAGCGCAGCCGGGTTCCTTGTCGGCCTTTGGCGGAAGATGCGGTTTTCCTTGTCCTCTTGAATTACAGAGGGCATTTCTTCAAATCCAGAACCGACTATTTCGTAGAGATCGTCTTCACGGAAATCGACAACGTCCTCAAATGAAGGGGGTAGAATATGGTTGTCAGATTGAAGCTGCGAGTCTGGGGATTCAGGTGGAAGTGCAACTGATGCCATGACAGCCGCTCTCTCAAAGACGACGAATGCAACCAGTGCAGGCCGGGGAAGGTAGACTCGAGGAGAAGAGCTTGCTTCACCTTCGCCAGAAGCTCGTTGTAAAGGCGTTGAATATGACGTTATGGGGCGGACCATGCCGACCTTGCATGAATTCGGTCTCAGAATGACTTCGACGAGTGAATAGCGTGCAACGCTCTTGCGAGTCAGCGACACAAGAAGTAGCAGGTGTTGAACAGAGGCGTCGTCTGTGGCCATGGCATCGCTGAGCCTGCTCATTTCGAGGTACTTGTGTTCGAGGCCCTTGGGGACGAAGGTAAAGTCGAGAGCCTCTAATGAATCCGGTGAAAAGTCTTTCGTATATGGGTCGGCTTCGTAGAGGGCAGAGTATAGGGAGTCGCGCATTTCAGCCTCACCAATGTGCTCATTGTGGCCGCCGCGGTGGATCTTCCAAGCTTGAAGCTTGCCTTTAGAGGTGAGCGCGACAATATTACGCTCGCCAACACGCGCTGACCGATCGGCGCGCACGGCAGCAATTTCGCCGCGCAATGATAGATTCGAAAAAGCGTGGCGAATGCTACCGAAGATTCCACCGCCAGCGGTTGCGAGATTTGAGCGTAGGAATTGTACCGAGATGGCGGGCCGACCGTGGTTATCGCGAACACTCATGTAGGCCAGGCGACCCGAGTTGAACGTGATGATGAAGCCAGCAGACTCGGCGTTTGTAATGGAGGTTACCTTTTCGCCGTGGGACATGCCAGAAATACTGTGTTCGACACCGGATCGGTCTTTTTTGATGAAGGCGAACGTAGCGGCACTGGAGATGGATTCCCAAAAGACGACCTTGCCGCTACTGGCGGTCACGACAACTAAGCCAGGTTCTGTAGATGAGGCTGACGGGGAGACGAAGCATCCGACGGGAAGGGGATCACTGGGTCTACCTGGTGTCGGCAGTGTGAATGTGAAGGTCTCGGGTGATTGCGACGTCGAGTGATAGGGCCAGACTAGGGCGTTTGTTTGCGAAAGTGTAAGGGCGTATCCGAATGACGAGGAGATGTCGGCATGTTGCTTGACTAGAATGACGTTAGCAGATAGAGCAGGCGAGCGAGTAGCAAGAACTTACGGCTCCAATCCGAGCGAATTCTATCCGGGATGGCGGGCAGCTTGCTGACGATATAGGCGTCCGTTTTTGTCTGCAGGGTGATGGAGTTAGAAAGCAGTGCACGACCTTGAAAATTTTGCCGACCTACCAAGGCGACACTACCATCCCCTTTTGACGCAGCTCTATCGGCATGCTTTGTCTTTTTAGTGCGGAGATTCAATTCTTTTCGCGGCGCGGGGTTGACGTTTTCGTTGCCGGCATCGTCGACAGGCTCGGCCGCCGGAGCGCGCTTCTCGACGACAACGGGGGCCTCGACGACGGTGTTTGCCTGCGCGTCCGGGTTGACAAAGGTCTGCTCGGAGAGGGGAACGCGCTGGCGCTTGGCCTTTGGTTGAGGCACGAGGCTCTCCTGGGACTTGGGACGTTGGCGACGGCGCGAACGGGTGGCCGTGGCCGGGCCACCCTCAGTAACGGCGGTGGAAAACATTTCGAGGGCGTGCGGGCGAACGAGGCTGGCGCCCGGGCTCGTCGCGAGGTCGCAGGGCGCAGGAATTGATAAAAACGGATGAAAACTAGATGAATGATGATGGAGCGCGATGCATTTCGGGCATGGGATGCAGCCTGGGGCGAGGTTAGGTCTGCGAAGCGATGGGCGGCTTTGTTGATGCTAGTATGTGCAAGGTCAAGACAAGGTTATTGGCGGTCGACGAAAAACAGATGGCAGAATAACGTGAGCTTGTTGGTACTACCTAACTAACGCTTGTGCTACAGGTACCTGCTGGTGCGCTGGCAGTGCGCTGGCAATCTGGCACCCAATGAATGGTTCAGCCACAATAACATGCATCTGTTTGGTGGCTGATGCTATTTGTGGCGCGATCTACCTAGTGGGGCAGAAGCCGCCTCGTCGCCGTGCCTGACGCGTTTAATCTTGTCGCATAATCACATCGGAGATCTTGACAAGGCTGGCGAGGGGTGAAAAAGAAAGAAAAAAAAAATAGGGGAGGCAGGAGGCGAAGAAGAGCAGACTTGACTTGAGGAAATGACTGGTTAGGTAGGCCATGTGGAATCTATGAGCCCGAGTTTCGCGTCATTCAGAGTCATCTCCCGGTGCCAAACTTATTCCTCGCGCCACCTTTCGCAAACTGGCATGCCCGGCGCCTTGAACGAGTCCTGGAAACTCACCGCCTGCGCAGCCTTGCTCTCATCATTCAAAACCGGCGACCTCCTCGGAATCACCTCGTCTGGTCTATCCATCGTCTTCCACTTCTCCAGCAGCCACTTGTCCGGCAGCCGGTGCTCCTCCTGCCACTCCAACAGCGCCTCAAAGTCGATGCACTTCCTCGCAATGTCAAAGTCCGGAAACGGCCGCGAGTGGTTCTCGACCCAGTCAAACTTGATCAGGTCCACGCTCGGGCGGCACATGAGCCAGTGCGCGAGCGCCTCCTGGCAGTGCGAGAGATGAGCCACGTACGCCGGCGGGTGGCCGTCCGGGTGGTAGTGCGGGTAGTTGTAGTGCAAGCTCTTCCGCATCGAGCTGAGGCAGTGCAGCAGGTGCAGGTAGTCGAGCTGCATGAGGTACGCGTCGTCGAGGCTGAGGTTCCAGTCTGGGGCCACCTTCACCACCGTCGACGGGTCCTTGCCGAGGCCGCGGATCTGCGCGGCGCCGACGGGCATCACGCCGGTGTCGGATATGCGCTCCCAGTACGCATCCACCTCGGGGCTCGGCGGCTGGCGGAGAACGGCTGCGTTGTGTTCGATTGGGTACGTGAGAAACTCCTTGGTCGCAAACTTCGGGGACATGGTGTCTATCAAAGGTGCTTTGGCGTATTAGCAAAAGGTCGTTTATGCTTTCTGAGGGCCAGATCTTCGAGCAGAATGTAGAAAGGGACTCACAGAAGAATGATGTCTGCCGCAGGACCTCTCGGTCGTCCAGAGTTGCGGGACCGCGTACATGGAAAGCAAGAGCGAAGATGACAACCGAACTCCAGAAGAGAACGATATTGGCAGCCAAGAGTCTGCTCAAGCCGAGCCTCTCTGTAGTCATCGTACCCAGTGTATGTGGGCAGAGATCTTATTTGCTGGAGGTATCCTCCTTGTTGAAGAGCACCTGGTAGGAGAATTTTGGCTATTGCGGGATACAAAGTCAGCGTAAGTGCACATAAAAGTCCATGATTTGCTGGCTAACTTGCAGCCATGATGCTATGTGTTTGCGGAGGGATCTCGTAGAGTCTCAAGAGGGTGCTCTCAAGACAGCTATCCAGTGGTATACAAAAGGCTTTTGGCAGAGGTAGTTTCCCGATGATGATGGAGAGAGAGACCTATGGATTGCCTTGGATGTCTGAAGGAAACGGCCGGTAACCTCGAGGAACTAACAAGCATCTGCCTTCCCCTCTCTACCCTTCCGGCGTCCTACGTGTTCATGTCTTGAACCCACGGCGGCGGGATGCGTCCATCATCTTTCACTTCGCCACGTCACTATTCACCGCCAAGGTGTTTGACGGTGAGGCAAATTGAAGACAAAAAGATGGCGACACCCGCTAGAGTGTTTTACGGTGAAGCAAAAGGTATATAAATACATGGCGATTTCCGGTCGGGCGTGTGCTTATATCCATAACAAACCGGATTCCTCTTGTATAAGAAGCAGGTTCGACGTGCTTCTACTCGACTCATCCCAGTACTTACAACCATTTCGCCTTGGAACTTTTGCAACCAACCATTATTCAAGATGAAGCTTCAGACTATCCTTCAACTCGTTCTTACTCTGACGGCTGGTAGCAATGCTATGCCCACTGGGTCACCCCCCGCCAGCAACGTTGAGGGTTGGGAAGACACCCGCAACGGTGCCTACCTCAAGAAGCGCGACTTTTAGGGTTGGGAGAACACCCGCAACGGCGCTTTCCTTAAAAAGCGCGACATTGAAGGTTGGAACGACTCCCACAACCGCCCATACCCTGGGAAGCGCGACGTTGAAGGTTGGGAAAACACACGCAACGGCGCTTTCCATAAAAAGCGCGACGTCGAGTCCTGGAACGGTCACCATAATCTCGAGAAGAAGAGCGATAACGACATTGAAGGTTGGATCGACACTCACAACAACCCTCAGCCTAAGCGTGCTGCGGCTGATAACGACGTCGAAGATTGGGTCGACACTCACAACAATCCTCAGCCTAAGCGTGCCGCGGCCGATGATGGCGGAAACGGCAACCAGGACATTTCTAAGAAGCGTACCAACACCGTCTAAGTCGAGAACTGCCTCTTTCCCGACCCCCGTCAGCAAGTTGAAAACTGTGAGTAGGCTGCTGCCCACTACCCCCTCTACTAAACGATCCAAACCTGGGGACCTTGGCTAAACCTTCCATAGAGAGAAAGGTAGGCGCCGTTTGCAATGATACTCTTCTGGGTTTTGGTCCGAGCGGACGGACGAAAGACACGGGCGGTTTGCTAGAAAAGGTGTGGGCGAACTTGGAGCAGGGACTTGAACTGCGACATCTCGATGGAGATGAGCAAACTTAGACAAAAAACGGTTTTCCGCCCGTACACTATATTCTCCGCAAGTCTCTTCTTAGCGGCACGCAAAACAAAACTTGGCGCGCCCGCAATTGTAGACGTTGGTTATCTGAGCTTGTGTAGGTAGCGATATTCACAGCTCGGTAGGTCCATGGCCGCTAGGACTTTTCAGCTCAGGATGCCACATCATTCATGACCGAAGCTGACGGCGAAATGGTGGGTTCTACGCAACATAACCCGGCTTTAAAAAAAAAGAAATGGTGAAAGGGGCTCGCATCAATAAGCGCCCCCCGCGATGTCGACGTTGACTTGATGGGTTACTACTGTCAAGTAATTACCGCATATTTATTATTCCGGCTTCGGACTCCACCTCTGGTGTAATTTCCTACAATAACTTGCCGATAGCAAAAGAGCTCCATTCACCCTATGACTAACGTTAGTTATTAGTTGGCATGGGCCCCCTATGACTTCCGCCAATATCCTGCAGCATGACTGCACGATCTGGCGGCAGAGCAGTCAGGCCGCGGCGAATATTTATAGCAGGGGGGTGAAATTGTGGACAAAATCGGACTTTTTGAATATCGAAGACCAACTAGAGCTTTCTAAGACGCAGCGGCACTTCACTGTTCGCCGAATTGATGGATCAACCCAGGCCATAGCCAATCCCATGTTCAACATAGAGTCACCAATATGGTAAGGGTTGGTTGGATGAAGTGATTGATGCACCGGCTGACATGTTGTATCAGGGAGCCTCGTGTCAAGTTCCGTGAATATTGGCGGCTTGTCAAAGAGCAACCTGACGATCCAGAGGAGACATACCTCTGCTCATACTTGCCGCGCTGGATTAATACTTCTGCCCGAAGCTTTCGCGGCGTCGTGGCAGACGCAGGCCTGCTGTATGAGATGAATAAGTCCGCATGGATTAGCAGCCACAGCTTGAATCTCCTGAGATCACAGCTGGAGCAGATGCCTGCCATACAAAGAGTCAAAAAGATCGTTTGTTTTGGATTAGGCGATATCTGTCGGAAGCCGCCAGAGTGGGTGCGAAGGCATGCCTCCTCTAACGACCACGACGTCGAAGCCAACTTTGTTCGTGGGGCAATGATCCAGCACGCGGTTGCTTCATCGATGACCCAGATGTGCCGCGACTTGTCGGGCTATCACGTCGACTTACTAGCTCAAGATCCCGACTATACAGACGAAGCCAGAGAAATCTTGACAAATAATGGGTTCACAATTGTAGGAGATTTCGGTGCCGGGGGATTTGCGGAAATTACCGATGAAACCTTGGTCTTTTCCGTTTTTGTGGAAGCACCGTTGAAGCAGATTATTGCTGATATCGCACGGCCCGCAGTGATAATCAGCACCGGCTTTGACGTCTTTAACGATTTAGAGTATGTCGACCATACCTCGTTCACGCTGTAATTATTCTAATTCGGACCAACTACAGAAAACCATGGGCAGATGCAGAATCTCCTCGAACAGTTCAGATGTGGAGAGACTATGAGGAGAAGATCAGCTTCCCAATCTCCGATGGCGATGAGGAAGCAATGAGTAAGTTCAAAGATGTATATATTTACGCAAAAAAAGATTAAAATGTACACCACACGGGTCTACGACTTCGGTTACTTTTTGTACTGTGAGGACGTGCGAATCCAGTCATGCAGTAAGCCCCTGGCCTCAACTCGACTCCATGTATGCACAGTTAAATTGCGTCGTACAAAAATATAAGAAAATTGACACTGGGATTTAACTAACCTAAGAAGCTACATAGAGGAAAGATGGTGCACAGAAAAGGGGGCCGTTTACAAAGAGTAGCAAACAACATTCCCAAGTAAACAATGGCTTTGATGGTGAGTGTTGGCGCCACTCCACTGTACATTGGTAGGTACTGTACAAAACTGCCCGTAATAAAGCATCCCCGGGCCTACATTATGAGGCCTGCACGGTTCCGCGTCTAACAACGGTTCCAACCTCTGCCATAACAAAGGGAGAAAGTGTTGACAATATGGAGAACAAAATATCAGAGATAAAACAGACACGAAAGATAAGAAAGACAAGAAAGACAAGAAAGACAAGAAAGTCAAGAAAGACAAGAAAGACA